TTGACTATATTATCTCAAATTTAATTTCTTATTTTTTTATTTAAAAATAGGTAATTTATTAAGAATATAATTGCCATTTAAATAATGATAATTAGATATCAAATTTTTAATATTATAAATTAAATAATTAATCATATTAATTTTTAGTATTAATGTATAATAAAAATTACAAATCCTTATCACATTTTTTAAAATTATAAATTTAAAAATTAAAAATAATTAGAGATCAAGTTTTTAGTGTTATAGACCAAATTTTATGTTATTTAAAATATTTATCATATTTTTTAAATATTTTAAATATATTACATTTGTATAATAAAAATTATAAATTATCATAAATTAATATCCTTTTTAGTAATTGTACATTCAAAATATATTTTACTATCATAATCCAAATAACTTTCAGTTTATCAAATTAAATTTTAAAAAAATATATTTAAATATAAATTTTATTACAACAATTGACTTTCACTGAATTAAATTTTGGTAAATGAATTTTCAATAAATAAACTTTTAATAAATTGAAAATTAAGCATGCATTAAGACTAAGGCACCAATACATTGGTGTAATTACAGTTTAGGACCAAAACGTTTCAAATTTCAAAATCCTAATAAAATATCAAACATTTTAGTGACTAGACACGCAAAATGAAATTACTCAATCAGCCTTCTCTTAAAATGTTTTATAGTAAAAGCTAAAAGTTTTGTTGCAAATTTTTATTATATAATCAACTGTAAATTATATGAGATGAATGTCAAATTCCTCCAACTATATATTTTCTACATTTTTCCCATTAAACTTAGTTCAAAATGCAGAATATTTATTATTTTTTTGAAATTATTTTTAAAATTTATTTTTATATTGTTCAATGGGATTGTGAGAAATATAATTTTTTTAAACACTTCTTTACCATTTTCACTCTTCATTAAAGTTGTTAAACTCGTGAGTTTAAATAAACTCATGACAGACATATAAACTTGAAAACATAAAATTAGATTGCAATTTTAAATTTGCTTCTATTAGTAAATAACATTTAAAAGTGCATGAGCAAATACTTAAAATATAAAATACTTCCACAATTTAATTTAAGTATATTTTAAATTTAAATCTATCTACATTCATAGATTATTATATTCAACATAGAAATCTTAAAATAGCATAAATTATTTTTGATATTTTTTACTTCTTTTTTTAATTAATGTTAGTTTTAGTTTTTTTTCATTTTTTTATTGAAACAGGTCCTATTGCTTTTATGAATTAAGTTATACATGTTATATACCTATCATGTTTAACAAGTTTATGAGTAAGCTAGCATAATTTTATAAATTAGAAATGTAAAAATAATAAATTTAGAAAGTTAACTCATAAGTTTAATTAAATTTTATTTAATTGAAGTTTATAGGTAAATTAATGCGATTTTGTAAGCCAAACATATAAAAATGATAAGCTCGTAGAGTCAATTCAAGAGTCTAATAATAATGCTATTCATAATAAAGGAATTGAAGGCAAAAAATAAAAAGCATGTCATCTTTTCATGAAAATGAGAAAATAATTATTTTTATTGGCATGTAAAATATAATTAAAAGTGTATTTTTGTTAAAAAAATATTTTTTAAAAAAATTTGACACTAAAAATCTCACAATTTTGCAATTAATGTATCGACTTGCAATTTCTAATACGAAAATTTTTTTTTTTCTTAAAAAAAACCCTTATTTAGCGAATACACGTGGAAATGGTTTTACATTAAATGCCCCCACAAGTCAGGAAAGTATTACATAATAAAACCTCAAAATTTTTATATGCCTCCACTAAAAAATTTGATTTACCCCCATCATTTCAAAAAATTCACTTACCCTTTTATAAAAATTCACTTCTCCCATATAAAAATTTATGATTTAAAAGAATAAAAAATTTATCCCATCAAAAAGTAATTTTTTATTTTATTATAATTTTTATTTTATGCCTTTTTTTAGCATTTGATTTTATTATGTTATATCCTTAATAAAAATAAATAAATACTTAAAATTATTTTATAAAAATATTAATATATTTTTACATATAAATTATGCTCCCACCAATTTATTTTTCTGGATCCATCACCGACACGTAGATACAATAACTCATAGTGACCTTTTGATATTTGATATTAACATGTAAAGTAAATTTGTAGCTGATATTTTAGCTTTTAATATACAAAATTGAAACCAAAATATATGCGTAGAAATTTCTTTTTAAGCTTTTAAAATTTGATATTTATATATAAAAAATCTGCAACTGATATTTTAATTTTAAAAAAGCTTATTTAATTAACTTCGTTCACAATTAGGAAATGAAAACAGGTACAAGTGTACAGCAAGTACAAGTCTCTTAATTAATATGGCAAATCTATTGACTCACTTCTCAAGTTTCTTTTTTTTTTTTTAAGTTGAAAGAATTTCAGTTAAGGAACATCATAAAAAATTAATTTTATGTGAGTCTAATTTTTTTTTGAAATTCAGTTTAATTTAGGGAAAGAAAGTCAAGACAATTCTGATAGCGAAAAGATCAAAATATCCCTAACTTATTATATAGAATCAATAATTGTTAATTTTGTTATTCTAATTATTAATTTATGAATATGAGTTGTAAATTACACAAGATAACATGTCAATAATTATATAAGACTTAACATTAGTTTTTCAATCGCAAGTAATAGTATTAATTGTTAAATTATTAACTTTACTTGTTAATTTACTAATATCAGTTATAAATTATTGACAAGCCCTTGTAATTCAATAATATCAATTGTAAATTATTAATAAGTTTTATAATTTATAATTGATATTATTAAATTAATGAGTAAAGTTAGTAAATTAATAATTAATGTTACTGACTATCTGATAAATACGTTTAATTTATAAGTAATATTAGTAAATTAATAGATGCAATAAAAAATTAATCACTAATGATTTTGTATAATAAATAAAGGATATTTTAATTTTTTTTATAGTCAGAATTTTTTTAACCTCTCTCTCCTGAATTAAATTAAAATTTAAAAATTTTTTAAACCAACCTAAAATTAATTTTCTGCAGTGATCCTTAATTAAAATTCACTCAAAAAAGTTCATTCCTCGAGTTTCCTCTTCCATCAATGGCCGTGCTTCCCCATGCAGTGTCCACAAATCTGCAGCCCCAATGCCAGACCACGAGCTTTTGCTGATACAGTATGATAGGAACGAGAACAAACTTAAATTATGTCTTCCGTTTTAAGCATGTCTACATATTTGAATAAGTTATAAATAGTGTTCAAGGTGATTGTTACCCACCAACTTTACTTAAAAAATTACTGAATATTTTAAATTTAATTATAAGTTAATTATATTTTTTATTATTAAAGATTTTTTCTTTTATCACCTTGTCATTAATTCACTATCTATTCACCATCAATGATCTCCACAATACTTTTTCATTAAAAAATGTTTGAGTTTAGGGTGCCACTAATCTTTTGAATAAAGTTGAGGACAAAAATACTTTTAACACAATATTTTATAATAAAAATATTAAAAAATATAGTATTAGGCTCATTAATGGTGAAAAAATGATGAGTTAATCATAAAGTGACCATTGAGAAAATCTTTAACATTAATGAATATAATTGATATATAGTTAAGTTCATGAAATCTAGTGATCTTGTAAAGTTGAAAAGCAAAAATGATCCTTAACTTTATAAATATTAAAATAATATCATCATAACCAATCATGCTTATTTAATCTCCTTAGTAGTTAGTATCAATGTTGCCCAATCTACGCATTGAATCAGTTTGGTACTGGTTCGATGAATCATGATTGAACCAATCTCAATTAAAATAGTAAATTTTAAAGATCATATATGAAATTAAAAATATTAAAATAATATTTAACCATAACATTGTCATATATGTGAAATTTATAGTTAATTACACTAATGTTATAATAAAATTATTTAGTATCAATTACAAATAACTAAAATTATCCAGTATGTCATATTGATTCTCTAACCAAACCAAACAAGAGCTTCTGTTATTGGCTAAAATTATCAATAAATCATCATATGTGCAAGTGACACTAAAAAAGCCATTCAGAATAAAAATAAAAAGCATAAAGTAACATAATTTTGAATTATTGAGATTTTTTAATAAAAATGAAAAATGGTTCTTGATTAGTTTTGGCAGGTACTTGATTGATTTACCATTCATTTTTCTCCTGACTTTGCATCTTGACCAAAGTGGAAGGCTGGTTTCAAGTTAAACCAATTGAACCGGCTAGTCCAATTAAGTCAAGTATTGATGTTTATGTACATATTTTTCAATAGTAAGATCCATTATGGATCTCTTGAAAGTATCAAGTTCAGGACCTAACGATGTTTAATATAATTGTAGGTGATGCTTATTTAATCTTAGTATCCCTATCTCTTCTTAGTTGACTGTGCCTCTCCCTAGAGAGTAGAGACAAGAGCTCAGCTTTACCCAACTGAGTACTTTATGGTCAAAAGCTAAACTCCATAACGAAACAAAGCAGGCGGGAACACCAAATGTTTTATGAATGAATTTTTTTTTTTTAATATAGTTCCATAAGGTCATCTTTTAAAAAAATTAAATGAAAAATTCCTGCTTGAAAAGAAATTGAATTTCATTTAAAAATATTGTGAGAATTTTATTGTGAGAATTTTATTAATAAATGAAATATACCTTTGTAAATATTTTTTAAACGTGGGGCCATGCCTCATTTTTTATAAGCTTTGAAATCAAATTTACCAAAAAAAATTTACAAACAAATTAATTTTGATTATTTGAATATTTTTTTTATCTAAACTTTTACCCTCACAATTGAAATCAAGTTTCTTTCTTAATAAGGCATCTCCAATAGATATTCACTTTCGTTGATTCAATTCAATCCTTTCACTTTACGCCATCCATTATGGATTTATGATACCATTTACAACACAACAAAAAACAGGCCCTTCGGCCTTCCTTCTCTCTCTCCCCCTCTGAGAGATTATACAGAGTAACACAGGTGAAATCTAATTGCTCAGTCGCTTTCGGCTTGTTTGCTCTTATCTCTACCAACTATCAGTATTACTATTTAAGCTTCAACTGCCATTACTCTCGCCCCATCCCTATCTCTCTCTCTCTCTCTCTCTCTCTCCCCCCCCCCCCCCCGTCCCTGCTTTTTTTTCTTCCCTAAGAAATCTCATACCCTTCTCTTATTCTTCTGTTTGTTTCCCGGGAAAATCTTCATTCATTGCAATTTCATCCTCATTTGGCTTCCGTTTTTCCTTTTCTGCAATGGGTAATTGTGTGCGTACGTCGGAGAAGTTAACGGCCGAGATTGTACCCCACGACGGAGCTCAGGCTTACCCCACCGTTCGGTTATACGGCTCGCCCAAGAGCGTTCTCGCCGCCTACATTCGTTTCGCGCTCGTCCACAGGGCCGTCTCTCTTGACTTCGTTCCCTCCTCCGAAAGAACCACGTTGGCAGAGGAGTTCGCGCGTGCCGGAGCTTCCGATCCGGAGAGCCCGGTTACACTCCAGGTGGGATCCGATACCATTTCAGGGACCCGAGAGACATTGCTCAGGTTCATCGACGCACGGTTTCCGAATCCATCGCTGGCTAGGGCGGCAGCGGCGGCGGGAGGTGGAGGAAGGGAAGAAGATGAAACAACGCCGTTGATGGTGAGGGTCACGAGGCTGCACCACAAAAGCATACTGTGGCATTTGGAGAGGATGGTGAGGTGGGCGGAGGATCTGGCGACACGTGGAGGGAGGAAGGCCGCAGATCCGACGATGGGGAGCCCGAGGATGGAGGTGAAGAAGTTCGCCAAGAGCTACTCTCAGCTGCTGGAAGTGATGTTGGAGCACGCTCAGATGGAGGAGAGGGTCCTCTTCCCCATCTTCGACATGGCCGATCGAGGTAAGGACCACGCATCTTACTGCGTGTGTTGCCACATTCTATTGAAACTTAAAACTGCTTCTCCTACTAGTTTGGCTTTCAATATCATAAAGGGAAGAAAAACCTGCTGAATAATTTTAATCTATAGTATCATATACTGTTTGAATTTGTCACGATTTATATTCAATTTCAATAATCAGACTTGTTATATCACATGATAAGGAGATAGAATCCGAACACGTGAATTTCTGTAAATCTGTTGTATTATTAACTACTTTATTTCAGAGAAGTTCTCTCAGATGTCATAGTCAATGAACTCTCAGGGAACTGTGCACGTGACTTTTTTTTTTTTTTTTACATATGATGGTAAATGATTAATTTCACAATGAAAAGGATAGTATTAGACGGGTGATTTGATGGAAATAATTGAAATTGAAGCGTTATTAATACGCCTGAATGATCGTAGTTAATCTTAATTATTGTGGATGTTGTAAATCATTAGGCATCAGGTACTTTGTTAATGTAATTCTCATAGTTTATTATTATATTATAGTATACTCAATAGTTGCACAAAAGTGAATTAATATGTTATATACAACTTAATGATTTATTTAAGTGACCAAGAATTTACTTGGACCTATTTAGTCATGATTGGATTTAGATCTGTTTGGTATTTTTAAGTATATAACATCACATGATCACTGTTGTTAATTTCGTGGAGGGGTTTCAACTTTCAAAGCGATTTTCTTAACCTTATCTTTCAATCTGTGAAATGAAGTGAACAATATTTCTTTATGTTCAACTTTTCTGCTACGAGATGCTCAATGCAATGTTGGAGTTTTCTAGTTTCTTATTAACAAGGGAAAAAAAGTAAGAAATAAAGTGGTATATCTAGTTTGAAGTCTTTACCCACATTTTGTATTTAAAAATAAAAAAAGAGAATAGGAGAACATGTTTGCTTGCTTTGTTTTGAAGCAATGCTATGAGGAAAATACGAGTGAATGAAATGTGACATAAACATACATGCATAGGGCTATCAAAAGCTGCAAAGGAGGAACATGCCAGGGACCTACCGCTCATGAATGGCATCAAAGAAGTCATAAAATCTGTTGGGGTTTTAGATTGTGGAAGCCCTGGTTACCGAGAAGCTCTCTCCAACCTCTCTTCTAGGCTTAAATTGTTGCAGGTAAAATCATTAATTATCACGACAAGCTCCTCAAAATTTGGTCAACAACAATATGATACGAACTATGTATGAGCTTAGTTAATTGTTGATTTTTGTGTATCCAGGGGCAATGCAAGCAACACTTCAGAGAAGAGGAAGTAGAATTGCTTCCATTAATGGAGGCAGTTGAGATGAGCAGAGAGGAGGAACAGAGCGCGGTGGAGCAATGTTTTGAAGTGATGCAAGCAACACACAATCGTCTGTTCAAGTTCTTGCTTGAAGGTCTCCCGGCTCATGATGCTATGAAGTACCTGGACTTGGTCAGAAGTTGCAGAAACGGAGAAAAAATGGAATCCATGCTTCAGATGATTGTTCAGTGAGAGTGATGAGCTCAAACATGATATCTTATTTGCCAACCCCACTTTGTGTATAGAAAAAGTTAAAATCCCAAAAAGGTTTAAAGTGTTAGAAATGAGTTTGATAAAAAAAGATTGGAGTTACTAATTAAAGTTGGCATGAATGATAGGAACTCTCGTCACATGAACAAGTGATTGGGAGTTCAAATTTCAACTTTCATATATGTAGTAATTTAGTTAGGAGAGGTCTATCATTTGCTTTCAATATCTCAAGAGAGATAATTTCTGTTGTTTAACTATTTCTGTGAAGATGATGTGAGATTGAGAAGTCATGGTGTGCTGGTTGATAAACAGAGCACATGTAAAGCGAATCATGGTGACCTCTTCTTTTGTGGAGTGAGTGCACGTTCTTGTGAGTGTCAGCCTGGCCTTTTGGAGGAAGGAGGGCACTTATTCTCTTATCTTTCCCTTTTGGGTAAGGTTGTCACATGAATACGTTCCAAAATTCCTACTGTCTGTCTACCCTTATCCTTTTTCCTTGGAAAAAAAAAAGGTTCAGGTTTTAATGGTGTGTATATTTGCTCTGGAAAACCAGAAATATTACGTTTAAATTGTCATGAAGAAGAATTATGATTATAAGTAGAAACTATGAAACATTCACAAGAATTTTGCAGGGTATTCTGGTGACCCCATTAATTGCATTCATGAACATTATTACTGCCACTTTAGCTTCAGGCTATATCCTTGCCAGTGCCACTACGGCACTCCCACCTTCCTTTATATCACTCAAGTTCTCAGCAACATCAACCGTCTTTTCCCCCTTCAACTTTGCCACTAATAACTTTTTTATTTTTAAAACTAATAAAATAATAATTTTACATATATAAGTACTTAATTTTATTCATATATTAGATATTGATAACTATTTCATAGTTATATAAAACTTTAGTTGAAACTTTAATCTTTAAAAAAATATATTTTTCAATTATATTCTCATTAAATATCTTATAATAACAATAATTTGTTTAAATTTTAATAAGAATTTTTTTAAAAAATAATAAATGAACTAAATGTATAGTTAAAAAAATTATAAAAATTATTATGTCATGAACGAAATAATACTTCTAAAAATGCCACGAGTGGGGATATATTTTAGTAATATAAAGGCATAAATTGAAATTGGAATTACTAGCACAAATCAAGCTCAGAAAGACCGAGAATTACTAGCATAAATCCAGCACAGAAAATGCCTTAAAACCTTCCGCAGCGCTCCGCGCAGGCATCTGAATTTTATTGTAAATATTATTAATTGATTAATTAATTAAAAAAAGATTGGGAATCAAACTTTGTAACCGATGAAACCTCTGACTCTGAGTGTATTTTGATTAAAAAAAATACTTTTTTAAAAAATAATTTCATGAAAAAGTCAAATATATGCTAAAATTTTATTCCAAAATGAATTTCAATATTTAATGTCATTCTCCAAGTGGAGGACCTAATGATTAAAACTTTGAAATTATAACGTAGAGCGAGTTAATTTTCAAAAAAGAAATTATCAAATAGACGTAACAAACGTGCAGAGCACTAGCCAATAATTGATTACAAGAAATTGTTCATGATCGTGCCACAACACGTCACGTTCAATTATTAAGTCATGGTGTAACACTCACATCATCATAATTTCATAGTTGTGATATCCTGTTACAATGTTACCCACACATCACTTGCACAACAGCGCTAATATTTCACCATCACTTCTTGAGTACCAACCACCTCTATCTTCAACTTTCAATTTTACTAACCCCCCCATCATTTCTTAATCCTTCGTTTTTTTTTTCCTCTTGTTCAAATTAAATTTGATTGTTACATTTTATATCTCCTTGCAATTACATTCTAACTACTGAACCTTATTAACGCCAAGTTACATTACACCATGACTTTGTTTACCACGAATAAAACCATGTGTTACCATCTTTAGTTTTCCTTGTTTACCATAAAACCCAACCTCACCTTTCTTCTTCTCCTAACCTGAAAAATTCACTAAAAATTTATTATTATTAATACTCTCCTGTCTTAATTTATAAAATATTTTTTAGAGGTGATTTGATATCCCAAAATATAAAAAACTATAATAAAAATAAAGTTTCATTAATCATATTAATATCACAATTTCCTCCTTATTACATTATCTCACTCTAATATTTCACAAGTAAAATTATATTAGATGAAGGGTGTTTTTAAAAAATTTTATATTTATATTTTTAAAAAATAAGATCGTAAATGTATATAATGAATTTTATTTATATGTGTGATTTTTTCAAAAAATATTTTATAAACTGGAGAGATAGAGACTAGAGTATACTTTTGTGAAAAAATTGTAGTTATATTTACAAAAATCGTTAGATTGCACAATACTTTCTCCTTGCAAGACTAAAAGTTTAAAACATACATTATATTAATCTTTCAACTGGTCACAGTGAAGAGATATCCTCACACATTTTTGTTTTATATCTTATAAAGTCTTGTTGGAAGAAATATGTTGAGAACAAGTGAAGTGTGTGGTAACAAAAATATGTTGAAAAGTGTAATTGGAACAAGTATGTTGAAATAGAAATAGGATGGATTAGAAGAAGCCGTGGGGTGGTTTTCAGAGATTTGATGTTTTATCCTGTGGGTCAAGGGACAGAGATTTTGACGTGAGCGAAATCTTTTTTCCTGGGAGGCTGTTTTCTTGGGTGAGGAATGAATGGTCAATTTTATGGGAAAGGGACAAAGAAGGATGATGGGTGAGAAGAAGAGGAAGGGGAAGAGGGCGTGCGGGAAAAAGAAAAGAAATGGAGGAAATGTTGCAAGACCGAGCAAGAAGCATCCGAGGAAAGCACAGAGTCCAAGTCCATCAGAACATGGCGATTTGACCGAAGGAATGACGATGGGTGGACATTGATGAAACTCCACAAAAACAGGCCCACCCCATTCTGTTGGAGCTCGGCACATCCGCTGAGTTACTGGACGGTTCAGATTTAATGGTTTTTATTTTAAATTTTTTAAAATAAAATAAAAAAATTAATCTTTTAATCTTTAACTTTTAACTTACTTATAACTCAATTCTCAATTATGACTCACTGCAATTCAGTTCTTCAACTATAACTTACTGCGACTCAATCCCTTAATTTATTCACCTATAATTCGACCCTTATTTTTTAATTTTTTTAAAAGTTTTTATCAAATAAGATGAATAAAAAATGCTCATACATTATTTAAAATACCCTTCTCTTGCTCATTGATGTGAAATATAAGTTAACATGAAAAAAAATTAATAAAAATTTAAGGACTAATTTGTAAGTGATTCAAAAGTTGAGGGACTAAATTATAAGCGAGTCATAGTTAAGGACTGAGTCACAGTGAGTCATAGTTGGGGATTGAGTTATAAGTGAATTAAAAGTTGGAGGATTAAAAGATCAATTTTTTTAAAAAATATATATAAATTTGAAAAATTTTAATAAATTTATTTTTTGTCTGTACAATCCAGATTTAACATAAATTATCCATATTTAATATCAAATATTTTATAAATTAATTTTTAGATATTTAAAAAAATTTAATAAAATTATTTACCTGTCTGTCTGTCCATATTTAATATCAAATATTTTATAAATTAACTTTTCAGATATTTGAAAAATTTTAGTAAATTTTTCACTTGCCTGTACTGTCCTGATTTAATATAAATGATCTATATTTAATATCAAATATTTTATAAATGGACTTCTTAAATATATTTTGAATAGTATAGGTTTAATATTAAACTTTTTTATAATTTTTATGAATTAAATATGAATCACTCATATTAAATCTAGAATATTGATAAATAAATTTATTAAAATTTATATAATTTTTTTATTTTAAAATATATAAAATAAAAGATAAAAAATATTAAATTTAAATCATTTAAATGTAGATTGAATGGTTTAGATTTGGGTGTGAGGGGGAAACCGAGTTCATTCATGTTTGCTTCGTGTGCGCTGGACCAAACCATCCCTTCACACGTTACCTACACCACGAGATTCCAACACAAAAAGAAATAATTAAATACTGCTCTCTCCTCCTAATAATTAAGATCGATAAATATGTTTGAGATTTATTTTTTTCCCTTAAATGTTCTTTATGTTTTTATATATGGTTATCTAACTTTGTCATATTAAAGTATTATTAAGTTCAATTGAAGATAACTTTTCTAAAAGCATTTGTATTTACACGATCTCAAATTAGAGATTTCAAATTTAAAATCTTAAATAATTGTAGTTTCTTTTGCTACATTCGAGTCTTGATTAGCACAAGTATACAAGGCAATGCAAAGGGTGGAAAAAAGGAAAACGAGAAGTCATTAGAGCATCCAATCCATAAAAATTTGGATTTTGCTAGTGATTCAAGTGAACAGGTGGTATGATGAGTGCTCACTGGATGTAAATCCAATAAACGGTGGGTGAAGAGGAAAGAGAATGAAGCAGGAGGGACAAATCAGAAATCCTGAGATTCAAATCAAGCAATGAGCTATGCCAGCAAACAAGCTTCGCGAGACGATGGTACAACAGTGACAACAAACAGGTGAGATGAAGGCAAGAACTAATTAAAACAAAATGAACAAAATTGAAGGATCTAATTTAAAATTTAAAAAATTATAAAAAAAACTGCAGATTTTTTTTCTTTTTCCTTTGTTTTTTAACATATGGATACGTACTTGATTGATTCTTCCAGTAGTTATATTATCTTGTGCTTTGGGAGATGAGAGACTGGACTGGCGGGTGATTCTCATGGCGGGAAATTAAAAAGATCGCGCGCATCTTAGAGCCGCCGAATGCCCCCCGACGCAACTGACAATGGGCTCTGAGGCGATCCTTCTTCCCAAATGGGCATCCCAGCCTTGCATCATGGGAATCGACGAAGCTGGCCGGGGACCCGTTTTAGGTTATATTTCGAACCCTATTTTTTTTCCCCCTTTACTATTGTTGTTTTTCTATTCCAGTACCATTCAGCTTTCCGCGCTTGGTTTTCCGACATTTTTAATGTGGTTTACCTAAATCTAAATCTCTTAATGGATTATCGTTTTATCATTTCGGGGGGAAAATTTTCAGGACCCATGGTGTATGGATGCTTGTACTGTCCACGCTCATATCAGAAGACCCTCGCAACGTTGAGTTTTGCTGGTAAGTTCAGCCTTAAACAATTTTGTTCACTTTGCGATGGTCATTTGATGCGATGCTGGTGATAGTTGTATGAGAAGAGCGATGACAGAGCTGGAGTTAAAAGCTTTTATATAATAGTAATTTTTATAAAACTAGCAATCCCGTGGCAGTTGGTATCTCACTTTCCATGTGAAAGTCAATTGAATGCTTATTTAACACTGTTGGGAATTTCTTAGGAATTTGTTCTCCAAAAGTCAATTGAAGGAAATTTGTAATATGTTGCTATTTTTGTGGGGATGCTGATAGATCGTTGATACGATCTTGTCATGCTATTTACTTAAAGTCGTGCGGCCTTAGTGTATCTCAAGTTAATTATACATTGTGATTTTTTGTATAATAGTTGGTTGTTGGGTTCTAAGATGGTCCTGCATTATGTTGGAACTAAATATCTCTCTTATACACTGCAAATTTGTCTTTTAAATTTTGTAATCTTAAATACTCTTCTCCTGTTTCTGACGTCAAATAATATGTGTCAACTTAATGCAATGATTTTCCATATATAAACCTTAGGTTGCAAGATTTTGTTGTTTGACTTTGCTTATTGTAAATGAGAGATACACATTAGGTTGCAAAGCTATGGCCCTGCATAACAATAAAGATAACTTCCTTGGTGAAATGAGAGATTACTTCCTTGCAGAGAGACGCACATTGTAAATGAGAGATACACATAGCACATTAAAGGCTACAGAAGTGGTGTTTTGAAAGCTACGTTCACCATGCAAGATAACTTCCTTGGTGACTGTAGTCACTGCACTTTGTGGAGCTTCATGTCAAATACTGAGTCTCAAAATTTTGTTGCAATGAAGACTCATTACTCATGTTAGTGTGTGGCTATTTAACTCATGTTAGTGTATGTCTAGGATGCTTGTGTGGTTGGTTATTTTCTCTATAATCATGGGTTGGACTTGGTCCGTAGAACCAAACGAGATGCTCCACGGAGGATTCAGTTTTTGGTGATTTTATTTGAAGAATCCATCTAGCTCAAATTCTTAGGAGCTCATTATCCATTCTGTATGCTGGTCTTTTAAGAAATTTGAAACCTAAAGATAAAAGCAGAAATAATTCAGTTTGGCATGTTATGCAATCAAGAAGTGATCAAAGCTTCAAATAATTACAATAACAGGATTGTTTTTTCCTGGGGAATGGTGGCTCAAGAAACAGTTTAGACTTGAACAATAACTTTAACTAGTGCTCATGCATGGACACACATGAATTACAAAACTGCATTGCAGGTTAGGCCAAAAATGTGCTGTTGCTTTTTGTTTCACTGGGTTTCCAGTGTTATCATTTGGCACTTTTCTGGTGCAGATTCTAAGACACTAAAAGAAGAGAAAAGGGAAGAATTATTTGATAATCTAAAGGGAAATGAATCAATTGGATGGGCAGTTGATGTCTTGGACCCAAGGGAACTCTCTGCTAAAATGTTGAAGAGGTGAATTGAACATAACTTAGCACTTCAATCATTCCACAATGGCTATCTTGTCTTGAAGTCTTCATTTTTCATGATTTTAACAGGAATAAGATAAACCTGAATGAGATATCGCATCAATCTGCTATGGGCTTGATTGATAGAGTACTGAAGATGGGAGTTCTTCTGACTGAGGTGAAACCCTGTTCAACTAGTGTCAATGTCAAATACAAGTTAACTGAACTATAGCTTGTCTTTCAGAGGAAAAAAAAATGTCAATTTTAGTTCTTTTGATTGGATGTGGCAGAGTTGACACTGTTGAAAACTTGGTTGATATTGTCCTTCATTTTTCTCCTATTTCTTTGCTTTCTGATCTTATTCTTCATCCATGTAAACATTCTTCCCATGACTAACCTTCCTCACTTGACAATCATACTTCATGAAGCCCTGTTCTTTGGAACCCTGCTGTCTGTTTCCCTAATTTTCGTTCTCTTGAAATCTTTTTGGGAATTCATAAAACTTGTAAACTCATGATTACAGTTGCCTCCCTCATGTATCTTTTTACAGAAATAGTGTTATTTGGAAAACAGTTTAAGTTGTAAAAGTATTTACCTTCTTTAAGATGTAGCTGACTTCTTTGTTTTGCCCTTTTTTGAGTCTGTCTTGCAATATTGTGGACTGACAAGTTTATGTAGATAACTTCTATACTTGAAACTAGGATGTGGAGCATGAATTAACCTGGACCATTAGTTAAAGATTTTCTCAAATATATTTTGATGTTGCATGTACTAAACAACATATCTTTCTATGTCATGACTTTAATATGTATATCTGCCATACCCTAATTTATTGAAATAGCTGAACTCGTAGCTCCTGGATTTGTGGTTGCAACTTGCAATTTACCCCTGTACTTTCACAAGTGATACTTTAACCTAAAAGCTATAGGCGTTCAGTGAAGGATGATTATTGTTTTTACCAGTGTTTCTAGTATTCTTCTTCATGTGAAAGCCCCCCTGGGAAGAAAGCAAACAAAGTTTGAACCAGCCTACTTGGTGCTGAAATTTCATTTTTAATTGTGAAAAATGGGGTTGCAAGGATTGAACTCTCAATCACTTGGTGCTTGGGACTCGGGTGTCAAGAATGACTTCCACCATTAGGGATAAGCTATCAATTAGGGTCTTATTAATATATACAGCATGCTGCATGCCTCAAAATCACCATCCTCAGAAAAATTCTTTGGTTGTCAAGTCTGAATTAAATGACCATAAAATCCTGAAGCAGAAACCCTCTCTCTCTATCAAGTAGTTTTGGATGCACTCTTTTTTAAAAGTTTTTTTTCAGGACATCTTTTTGCAGATTCTAAGATTAGTTTGGGAGATGAAGCTTGCAGTTAGTACTGTTGTTATTATTATTATTTTGGTCATATTAATGCATCTATACTACAATTACAAAATAAAAGGGTAAGCAAAATTTTATACGTCCTTTTCAGGTTTATATAGATACAGTTGGAGACCCAGAAAAATATGAAAGGATGCTGTCTAAAAATTTTCCATCTATCAAATTTGTGGTTGCAAAGAAGGCTGATAGTCTCTATCCTGTTGTGAGTGGTGCCAGCATAGTTGCAAAGGTACATATCTCCCTTTTTATAATTGCCTTGCAAACTGCAAAATCTGGCAGCTCACTTGGAATGCCTTTTTTATTTTTTTTATTTTTTTTTTCACTGTTAGGTCACAAGAGACCGAGCTTTGCGGGAATGGGTGCTTGATGAGACTGCTGAAAACATGCATAGGAACTTTGGTTCTGGATATCCTGGAGGTGAGGAGGACATGACTTGTTTACCTCAAGCTATGTATTTGTCCTTATAAATTTCTGTACTCTATTTATGGCAAAAAAAAAAAAAAAACCTCAAGCTATGTGTTTGTATATTTTCATTTGTGCAGACCCCCAAACAAAATCGTGGTTAGAACAACACAAACATTCTGTCTTTGGATTCCCAACACTGGTCAGATTCAGTTGGGGAACCTGCACTACATATTTTAAGGATGTGGTGGAAGTCTTATGGTCAGTTAGAAATATACATCTTTTCAGAAATCTTTATAGCATGTGATCCATCAATTCGTCCACCCTTGGATTTGTTAATGCATTCGTTTTGCTATTATGTCGAAGCACATCTTGGGGTTGCATCTACCCTGCACCTTTTTGTAGAGGGAAGCAATTGAATGTGTGCTGCTGTCAATAAAATAACTCTCAATCAGCCTCCTGATTGACGTGAATCGATTACATGACAGTATTTTGGGAGCACCAAGATTCTATTGTAATCGCAAATTCAAACTGACTCATCTTATAATTTGCTTTTGTTGTGGAGTTCTTGCACCAGGACTCTATATCCAATTTTAAGAACATTTGTGGGTTTCATGGTTTTTTTTTCCCCCTAATTTTCATTCTCTCTTAGGCAACCGTCCTCCCTCTTTGATCTTTTTATTAAAGAATAAAAGAAGCAGAAACTAGACTTGAATCTTGATGAGCTTATTTCCTTTAGATCCCTCTGGGGACGATGGATGAAATTCCATTCACTTGCACGGCCATTTATTCATGTTAAATGACAACCCCCCTTCCTCTTTTTCTTTCGTTTTGTATCTTCTGAGTTACAAACTTTATGTGGGAATTGTTTATGCTAGTCTTTCCTCATTCACACTTGTCATTCTTTTATAGGGAATCTGATAAAATGGATGAAGGGGAAGGTAGTAGTAACAGTGGCAAGCGGCAATTGAAATTGAGAAATGTAGGTTTCACCACAGCCAAGAGAAAAAGCGAAGAAATAGAATCAAATGGCAAAGGTCGCAGCCGGTTTTTCCAGACTCGGAAGCTTGAAATTGTTTCTGATTTCTAATTCTAATTTTGATATTTAATTCCCTGTAACATTTTAGAAATTTGAAATTTCTTAGTTAAGTTATATGAAGCATGTAGCAAGTTCAGAGATTTTCCGAACGGACACTTTGTAAATCATCAGATTCATCCTGATTAGATTTTATATTCGTTTCGTGTAATTTGTGAGCTGATTAAGCGACATAGCTTATATAAAATGTACTTCACTGCATTGAAAGTTATATTCGATCATATGGATATCCTTGTTTCTGGTGGAAGTGGAACGTCTTAATTTCAGAGGCTTCCTTGGAACCTCCAGGTTTATTTCGTCTCATTATTTATTTTGTTTTTTGGATTTGGGGGAGATGAAACACGTATATTATATTTTCTTTTAATTAACAATGATGAAAGTATTTATTCTCTTTTCGGTAATTGAACTAAAAAATGAGTCTAGTGATTTGCACAAAGTCTGATATTAGTTCATAGTTTATGGTATGTGGTTTTTATATATATATATATATATATATAACTTCGCATTACGTATGGATGATTCCTCAAGATTTCATTTTCTCACTATTTCTTGCCCCTGGATTATTTCTTCCCTCGCTGGTTCTGCATTGTTGTTTACTTCATGTAGTTTACACGCCGCGCGAGCACAGGGTTCGTTAATTCTTGTATTCTAACAAAATCCTGGAAGAGAAGGATGTTGTCTGGAAAGAATTACACCTAAATCCCAAATAACCTCAATTCAATTGTTAATGGAGCTAACTCTTTTCTGTGAAATTTTAACGTAATTCCCCCTTTTGTTTATTGTGATCAATTCATTTGTTTTTTGACAAAACTCAAGTTGTTACAGTAAACATTCATGAACAAATTTGTTACAATTTCGTGGCACTCTCTTCATAAAATCTTCTAAACCATGCGAACAAAGCATATGTTCATATTCGTGATGCTTAAGTTCAATTTTAATAGAGAAAATGAGGATTGATAAGAATCCAGAAGATCACTCGGTTACATTTCTGATATTGTGACAAAAACATCAAACTCAGGAACTGGGATGTGAAGGCCAATGAATACTTCCATCATGATGTACAACACTAGACAGGTTAAAATTAAGCGGAAAAATTCCAAAAGCAAGCACGCATCACAATAAAGTATACTGACACACCAGAACATTTTTGGAAAAAACTCCGAAGAACCAAATAGCTTTTGCATACCATGAAATAAAGACTTTCACTTTCTATGTGAACAAGCATAACTGTACAAGAGTATAGAACCCCATGATCACCATAATTAAAGTAGGAAGTTCGAGTCCTTTGAGGTTGCAGGTGGCATCTCCATGGTGGTTCTGATGCTGACGATTGTTGTTGGCTGCACCAGCCGCATAAACAGGGATAACTGCGGCACCACCTCCTTGGGAATTACCATTATCACCATTGTTGGGTGCTTTGACACCGCCTGTACCTCCATGACTAATACCTCCTTCTATCTTACTTCCTCCATAAACATCTGTGTCTTCTACCTTGCTTTTCTGCACCAATTCTGTACACAATGTAAACCCTACAGTTTTAGACACTTTTTTTTTTTTTTAATGGTATCAAAAATCAATCCGGGTTGGCTGTTCAGGCCAATAAATCAGTGAACTAATCCCCTGGTCAGTCTACTAAGAGTTTTGGATGGGTCAACATATTGAATTTAATATATTTTTTCTCACCTTGCCAAGCCTAAAACATCTTTTTGAGTTAAAAAAATAATAATCATGAATGGCGGTTCAACCAAACCCTTGAACCATTACCTTGCTTTTTTGTTTCTTTCATGTGCTTCAGAAAGCAATTAACATGGTAATAAAGAAAACTGGGGCTGTGTTACTTGCAGAAGAAAATGCTGTTTGATATATAAATTTAATTATTCATGAAGTGAATTGAGGACTTGCTGTAGTAGAGTGCAAAAAAGACAATACTGAAGGTGGGGATACATGTTGTGGCGTTGGATTCCCTCAAGAGAACAACTTTCTCAAGAAAAGCAAAATAGCAGAAAAGTAACTGTTGTTTGTTTCCTTAGAACTTAGTGCTGTTGATGAAAAGGAATTTCAGCAAGAAACTTTGCTTACTGGGGGACAAGAAAGGACCATGATTTATCGCACAAATTCAAAGTCACTCGACAAGATCTCTCTTTGATACCTTAAAACAGGATTTCTTCAAACAGTAATCATGTCTAAGGAATCTGCAAATAGTTACTCGTCTTCTTGTTATGATTCAAGATAATTTTTGTGCAGATTAAGATCATGCAGAAGGACATGAAAATTCAAAGATATTTCTTCACTAGCCAAATGACAGAATTCTCGGTCATCATTCCTTCCAGGGCACATTTACCTTCTGCCTCAAATCGTTATTTGTACATTTTCTATGGGATGGTAACTAGCAGATGTTCACAAGACTGAATCTGTACGTTTGATAAGAACAGTACCTGAAGGCAACGTCTTGTGAACTGGAGACGAAGACACAGAATGAAGAAGATGTATGAAGAAGATAATAGAAAAAACCAATTCTGTGACACCCATTTGGCTGTTTTTGTTTCTTTTTCAGAGATTCATACAAATGATCTGCGTCAGTCACCTCAATGATCCTTCGTTTATTTGAAAGCTCGAGTCTTGGCAGTGTTGCAGCACTTCACCTTCTCCCACTGAGGAATAGATAATGGTAGGCAAAACTGCAGTTTAAATATATCTTTCTGGGTAGAATCTTTGCAAATCAATAGGTTGAATAAATATATTGATACATGAAACAAAAGAATAATAGATTATAATTATTTGTGCCTCATCTTGAGTGAAAAAAGTAGCTTTGTGAAACAAAAGCAAGGTGATTAGTGATTACTGACAAGTGAGTGGTCCAGGGTATTAAGCTAAGTAATAAAGACCACTGAGTGTGGAATCTTTTGGAAAGGGGTTTGTCTGACCGTCTGTAGTTGGACGCTGAAGCCACCTATTTCCATGAGCGACACGAATTCATCATATTATAATTAAATAAATCAAAATGAGTACATGCGTGTCACTATATTATAATTCATTATATTTTACACAATTTATTTACATCAACGCCCAGTTGTCTTAATCATGTCACCTCCTCCATTTAGAACGGGTCTTGGACTATTGACATGCCAGCATACAGTGTGTGAATCTCCATTTTCCACGAGAAAAGGTTAGATTAGAAGTGAAATTTAAAAAAACTTTAATTGTTTACCGTAAAAATATTTTTTTCTCCTAATCTATATAAGTTGAAGGATTAATTGGCTCATTGGCCAAAAAAATCTTATGTCGGGAAAATATAAATTAAATTTTTAAAAATTTAAAAGTATGATTAATTCACATTAATATATAAAAAAATTTATTATTGATATATAATGATATATTATTGAAAAAAAAATAAATTAATTATAATATAAAATATAATAAATATTAAGTTATTTGTTTAATTTAGTCTAATAGGCTATACTTACCAAAGGCCCTTTATTTGCATGATCACTTCTAACATAATTGTGGTTGGTACTTAATAGTTTTAGTGCTTCAGGAAATTGCTGTGACTCACATGCATCAGGAGATATAGATCTGTTTTGCCACTTTTATTAATAGTACGCATGTAATTTTCCTATTTCATTTAAGATTAAAGATAAAAAAGAATCTCATTGCTTTCTCTAATTTTATATATTATAATTTTAAAAAAAAAATTAAAAATTGTTAAAAAAATTTATATCAATTAAAAATTACTTGTTATCAAAATTCGAATGAATATTATTCAATTCAAGTTAGTCCTTTATTAATAAGTATTTATTTAAATTTTAATAATAATTTATTCTAAATTAATAATAATCTATTCAAACTTTTTTCATTCAGTTTTAATAATAATTAATTCTTAATTAATATAATTTTTTAATAATCCTTAATCACTATTTTTTCAAAAAATTAACAAGCGTAGGAGCATATCGAATGAAAATTTTACTATAGAAATTATTTATGCATGAGGACGAATCATAAGCGGACAAGTTAAGTAGACCCCCCGGTCCGGCCGTCCCCCTGACAAAGGATGGGTCCCCCCACTATCGATATACATTCCCACCCAACCATAAAATAAACTATTTTTTAAAAATCTCATCCGATTTAAAATATAAAATGTTGGATAAGTTTTACATATTATTTATATTTTATTATATTTCATTTAAGTAATTAATAAAAATATTTTAAATAAATTAAATATTATGTTTAAAGAGAATTACATACGGGTTTCATGTAAAAAATTTAATTACTACAAAGTTGATTAATAATTAAAATAAGGTTGCTTCAATTGTTAATAAATCTGATAATAATTAATTTTTTATGTAGAATCTCAACACAATTCTCACTTATATTTATTCCACTTAAAAGTATAGTTGAAAAAAATATAAAAAGATTTAAAAAAAATCAAGATTTTAATTAATTTTTTAAAACGTAATTTAGTTAATGATCATTTATATTGGGGTCAGAAAGAAAAATATTTTGTGTACACACACATATATGTTACTTGCACAATGCATTAGAATGGTGCGAGAGAAATGGGAAGCCTTCTCCATCTCCTTCCATGTTTGCTATTACTTCTACGGGCTGTGGTGAGAGGATGGTGACGGAGAATGATGACACGACTACGCAAGAGAACAGGTGAGGGCCATTTTTGTCAAAAATCAAATTGGGTAAAGAAAATGATTTTATCAGTTATCTTTATTTCATGAAAAGAAAAAAATTAATTATTTAATCTTACAATTTTGATTTAATCATAATTGATGTTATTAGAATTAAACTAAATTTAAATTATTAGGCCAAAAAAAAGAAGAAGCTAAATTTAAACTAGATTGATATCGAACTAGAAAACCGTCATAATAGGGAAATGGCTCCTCCCAAACTCCAAAATTAAGAGATCTCAAAAACGCCCTTGTCCCTTACTCCAATCCCCTCCTTTGGTTGCCATCCTCCACCATGTTATTTCTATTTAATTTGATTCCATGTTATTTCTATTTCATTCCTTGCTCATCATAAATCTTCCACTAACTTAACATAACCAAGCAATCTCTAAGTTACTATCCTCTCTCTCCTCTATCTCTTTTTAGACCTTCTCCATCATAATCAAACATGACAAAAAGGGGGGAAAAAAAGGGATCTCAAAGAGACTCTAAGAAGCAATCTTTTGTACACGATTGTGATTCTTGGGAGTACCATAGAATTTTGACAAGGCATCTACCAGCTGCCAAAATGGTAGATGAATCAAGCACAAGCCAGTTTTATCACCTCAATGATTCCTCTTCTTATCAGCAATCTTTTGATGATATGAGAACACAAATCTCCAAGGGAAATTTCGGGTCCTTAAAATAATTTAAAGTCGAATATAAAAAAATCACATCATTTGATGTTAAATATAGCATTGTTGTCGATTGTCAATTTTGTACGTGTCAGCATAAAAAATTACATGCGCGCACACACACGGGGAGTAGTTTTCAAGCTTGACCATTGTGTTTGGTGTTACATTAAATTGATTTCGCATTAAAAAAGAGCAACCACAATCCAATAAAATTTAAGCACTACATATAGCAAAGAGACAAGTTAGAAGGATTTCAAACATGGAACACATTTTCTACATAGCAATGAAACTACTGCTCTTCTTAGAACAAGCGCATTTCTTAAATCCTCATAAATACTCGGATGCTAAAAGGTTCTTTAGCTTGAAAGCTGCAACTCCTTACCATTTTGGCCTCTTCTCCAGCATCTGTCGATATCTCTACAGAAAGAGACTTTTGAATTCCCCATTTGCAAGCTGGCATAATTTATTATACGATTGAGTGTCTGCAAAGAAGGGAACATCATAACCTATTTAGATGTGTAATGATGAGTTCGATCTATCAGTCATGCCTAATTTTCAACAAGAGTGAAAATTGACAACCAAAACATTGAGTAATTTCTACTATGCTCATATGCTTGTGTCTATTCACAGATAATCTGATCCATGTATATATAGATAGATAGATAGATAAGATCTGATATATATTTTGAAGACTGAATTTATTTAGGAATTTCCCATTTTATCTCAGAAGATTTTGAGCTTTACAATTATACATGCATCTTGAGATTCTCGCTCTAGTTTTTCTTTTCAAATTGACATTGTTACAATCTCAAAATGCATCTAATAGAAAAAAGGCCCATAGAATCGTGACTAGTTTTAAGAGATTTCTTTGTTTTAGATAATTAGGGATGGTATAATGGTAATTGCCAGTGAATGGCGCCTAGGCTCATCCCATATGATAGAACTAGGCACAAAGAACACTGGACTGACTTGTGTAGATAAAATCGATGACTTTTACGTGCTTGGATGAGTTTCATGCAATCAGATTTAGTTCTCATGATTTCTCTGAGTTATTAACAATTAGTTACTCATTATGGAAAATGAACATTTATTATAACAAGGGAAATGAAAAGCTAATATGCTTTGTAGTGCTTCATACCGAATGTGTTGCCAAAGTCAGTCCATATCTCAGCATTAATCAATTGGTTGCTCTCTGCAATGCCAATGACTTCAATATAATTCATAGCAGGAACTTGTGGCAACCCTTTCACAGTTAGCTGACTGTCATCCGTGGATTTTCCAATGGCAACAGCACCATCAGATTGATGAACTTGAAACACAGCTCGAACTTTCTTCCCTATGAAATTGGGTAGCAACTCGGCGTTTACAAATGCTGCAGGATTTGAAATGTCCATGGCCTGAAAGCAGGAAGCAATCAAATTGACAAGAACTAGGTCTCATGTGTACTTGATGCATTTCTTCTATGGAGACAGGGCAATCTTTTCCACCAATAAGTGCATCTTGGGATTCTTATTCTAATGCTTTAGTTACTAAGATAAAAAAAAATCTCAAAATGCGTCCAATGGTTAAAATATTGACAGGTTGAGATGAAAACATGCCAAAATAGCAGTACGGTTAAATGATTTTGTTGTTTTTTGAGATGATTGCTTTGATGTTGTCATGCTATTTTTCCTTCTGTTGGAAGTAAAATATGTAGCAATATGTTGAAATGATTCAAGAATCTGCCCCAACCCATATCCAATTATATCAAACACTCGGAAAAAAAATTACAAACGAGAAATAAAGAAAGCTATGAAGATGAATCTCGAGTCATACAGTCTTACAGGTATTTCCACAAACAGAACAAGTGCACAAGAGAAAAGCCAGAATTCACAATCGATCAGGCCGAGTGGCCAACCTCACGCACGTGAAAATAGGAAAAATCAAAACACAGCACAAAGATAACATCTTTGAATCAAAAAGCTTATGACAAGCCAAAACCAAAAATTGATATTACAGCCAGTCACATTTCAGAGGACCTGAACCAAAACAGAACTTTACAAACAATCAACAATTCAAATATTGAAAACCACATGTCTTTCAGAAGGAAGAAAATGTGGGGAAGATGAATTGCTGCGAAGATTAACTATGGGAACTGCAATCACAGAAAAATTTGTTAAACCCAACCCAAAAGAAATGTTAGAAAGCAAATCGGAAATGCAAAAAAAGAAAAAAAATCAGAGAAAGAGAAGAGATTTTTGAAGGAGATGAGAAGATAAAGCCTCTCACCTGTGACTGATGAAAAAACCTGGAACACTATAGTGTTCTTTATCGTGGCCGCCTTGACGGTGTTCTGCGAAGAATGGAGAAAGAAAAGGCGGGAACGTAGTAAATGGACTCTTTTCTGGAGGGAAATAATTGTGGGTATTGTTTATGCATTTTTATTTTTTTTTGATTAAAAAGATTAGCTAAAAGCCTGTTTATGCATTTTTCAGTGAAAAATAAAAAACAGAACGTTTTTCTTTTCCGAATAACATAAAATCGAAACTTCATAAAATTTACAGCCAATGAAAATGATAGTATCATAATTTATAATGGAACCTTCGGCCAAAAAAGGGTTATTATCATCCTTTCAGCAGTTTTTTTTTTTTAATTCCAGACTACAAGAGTTGAGTAAAATATTTTGGGTATTGGATGATGGGGTATTTTAAGATTTTCATACATACCTACATATGTATAATCTCTATCCAATATGAAAATAAAATTACTTGTCGTTGCAAATTTTTAATTCACTGTTCATCTAGACATATACCCATTTTTAATGATTTGCTGTTTTTTTTTTTAAATCTTTTTCAACTTGTATGAAAAAACTGTTCTAATTTAAAGTAAATAATGATAAAATATAATTTAGTTAACTGCAATACTTATTATTATATGAAAAATTAGACGTGTTGAAATAAATTACATTATTCACAATTTATGTATAATATAATGTGTTGGAATTCTTATAATCTATATTGACTGATTATGCCGTATAGTTATACTATAATAATAACAACAAATCTTATCCCATTAGGTAAGATCGACTATATAAATTACATGACGATGACAATGTACTCTATCATTTATCAAACTTTTAAAAATATTATTAATTAAGAGGTCTCAATCAACAACTTTTAAAATTATTCTCTTTAACATTCTTCTACCTCTCTTGACTAGAGTTGGGAATAAGGGTCGGGCTTGGAGGCCCTATTTAAATAAAGGTTTGGCCTTTAAAAATGAATTTTTTTAAAATAATCGAGCTTGAAGGCTTGGCCCTAATAAGCCCTGTAAAAAAGGACTCGGGCTCGGGTAGCCTTCAAGCCCTGTTATATCATTATCATCATCATCATTTTCTTCTTCTTTGGTGGAATACATGTTTGAAGCTAATGACCTGCTCACCTAATTCTACACGCATTATATTATTATTAATTTATTCTAACATTGATTTAATATAATTTAATAAATATCATTGTATAATATAAAATTCCTGATATTTTTTTCTATAATTATTATGTTTGTGTATTTATAAAAAATGAACTATTTTTTAATCAAGATTTAAATTTTATTACTAGACTTCTAAATGTGTGTTGCTTAATTTCTAAAAAATTATGAGGAATTTAATTTTTTTAATTTCAAAATATTTTAATTAATTTATAATGTTTAATTTTATTTTAAATTTTTTTTAAAAGGACTTGCGAGCCGGGCCCTAAACTCTTTACATAAGGGTCGGGCTTGATACATGAGGTTCAAAATGGGAACCACTACTTCCAACTCTACTCTTGATAAGGCTTAAAATTATTTATTCTACTCTTCTTACAGGTGTCTCCGTAGTCATTTTTGATCATGTCCAAATTATCTTAAATAATTTTTCCATCATTTTTTTTTTCAATAGATGTGATGCCCACTTTCTATCATATGTTATTACTAAAGACTTTATAATCCACTAATTATAAGTCTCAAAGTCAAAATAGACATAATAATATCATACTTATAAAGGTAGTTTCAGTTTATCAAATAACAATAAATTTAAGAGACTGATTTTGATAAAATTAATTTTGAAAGACTAAGTGGATAACTATGATGAACTTGGCAAGAAATTAAAAATTTCATTATCTCGGTTAAAAAATATGTTTCTTTGAACACCGTTTTCAGTTCTCACCTTAAATTCAAGCTAATGCAATTGTCAAGTATTTAATCAGCACACAAGCATGTCTCGACAACACGTACGGCATATAATCATATTAATGATTAATGATACTGTGAGCACATTTGATGGTATAATACTTGGAATGTTCAAATGAAAACCATATTATCCACCTCTACGCTCCAAGAATGATCATAATGGAAGGATTAGAATGAGATAGTTGAACTACTTATTCATTCTATGAATAGGCCACACCAAGACTAATAAGAAATAACGCTGCTCTATAATTTATCACAGCTTTTATTATATCGACGAAGTTGTCGTCCCAACATAATCTGGGGTTCAATCTCATGATCATTATGAAATCACTCTGAAACAAGCACAAGAACCAGAACAGTCTCACATTTCCTTACTAGACTGACACATATTCAAGCTCATGTGAAACTAATCAAAACCGTAAATTTGATTAGCAGAGCTCATTCTCCTTGTGGGTGTGAACCACACAATCTGATGTTGGATATGAAACACAGGTCAGAATATAGCCCTGCTCCATCTGCTTCTCATCCAGAAAGGATTGATCTGATTGGTCCACAGATCCTGTAACCACTTGGCCGGCACAAGTAGAGCAGGCCCCGCTCTGCACGAGTAAGGTAGCTCCACGCCTGCATTTTCAGCTGAGTCTAGAATGTAAGAGTCATCAGGAGCTTCAAACTCATTCTCAGTGCCATCAGGTCCAATCAGTTTCACTTTGTACACAGCCATGGCAGAAACTCTGAAGGATTCAGATTTCAACCCAAATAGCTTCGAAACACACTTCACAGAGCCTAAGGATGACCCACTCTTAAATAGAGCACAAGGTCTCCTTGTGGGTGTGGTTCTAGACAAGGAAGCTGCGGGAAGTCTCACATTGGCCACGTTCACAACCGACATCTTTTACCTGAGTCCATACCAATTTAGAGAACATAAATGAAATCATTCAGTAACAATTGATAGAATCGAAGAGGCCAATCTGTGATTCAGAATTGTCGTCTTGTCTATCATGTCATCAAGTTGGACTTCCTAATAAACAATACCAACGTCCTTGAACTTATGAAATGCAATCCTAATGCAATATGAATACAAGCAACTGCTATCAAGTATCAACTAACAACCAAGCAATTACAGCTATAGGTCCCTATACTATTCCATCATTTTCTTCTTCCAATCCACGCACCATTTCAAATGCTACAGTATCTTTGATAGCTAAACGTATTAAAACTCAAAATTTTCAATATTTCACATGGTCGTCACTTTCAGAATATGACAAGAAAAGCTTGAATCAATCATTAAATAATATAATCATTTCTCCAACACCGTCTACCGGTATTTGTCAAGCCATTATTTCCATCAAGCCATCCCCTAAATCTTGATCATGACTTAGCCACTGTTCAAGAAGCTAGTTTTCCAGAAGTTTGAAAGAGTGAAAACACATCATAAATATCTGTAACTTAAATCAAATTTATGCATTCAGAGAAACTACTTCTCGTTTTGTCACTCATCAAATCAATTCAATTTACGAGCAGACAATCTAGATCACCACTAAACATTCCGCGATTCTTGCAATCCCCTTGGGTACGCAACAGTGATAACCCCAGGCGCGCGGTGCACAAATACAAAAGCCAAAAATCGTTGCCACAAAAAAAAAAAAAAAAAAAATCAAGCATCACAACAAATAAACACAAGCATGTTAGCTTCAACAAAAGAAATGAATAAAATCGCGGAACGAATCCAGCAAGAGAAGATAGAACACAAGAGATCAGTGACGGAAACAGGAGAAGAGAAGGAAGAGGGAAGCTAACCGTTTGAAAAAGCAAAGAATGAGAGAGGAAGGTGCTGGATGCGCACGGACGCGCACTACTACAGGAGTGTGAAGGATGGTGGGCTTATGCGAGAAAGTGACCTTTGGATCTTCAGGGGGGCGGCTTCGGCTTACGTGTTGTCAAGTGACTTCTGATGAATTGGCCGTATATTTGACCAAGGGACTACACTGCCACATCAATATTTTTTCTAAACATTCATACATATTTTTTTTTGTCAAATATTTATACATTATTGATATTAATTTTTTTCATTATCCACATGTATTTTTTTATTAAAAAATAATCATTTTAAGGCATAGCGGTATTATTGATATTGATGTTTCAATAATCCATATGTAGAGTAAATGGTCAATTGCTCCATTTGTCAATATATTTTTGTATACTTTTTGTTGATGTACTTTTATTTATTAAGCTTCTCAAATGTTTACTCCAATCCTACATAATGGAATAAATTTGTTATTAATATCTATTCAATTTAAAGATTTTCCCTTGACGTAAATCTCATACGACAATTTGCCATTCAATGATCGCTACATGATTATCAATTGCATAAGTTTAAAAAACTATTAAAAATGCATATATTATTTATATAATATAGCTTGCAACTCAGATATTTTCTAGTGATAAAAATTGAAATGACCCTTTGATTAATTTTCAAAAGTTTAAGAATCAAAACTAAATGAAAGAATAAAAATATTAGAGAAAAAAATAAATAGAAAAAATGTATACTGGATTGTCCTTAGTTTAATTAACTTATTTATTTTAATATAGGATTTACAATTTTTTTTTTTCATTGATGAAGGTCCATCTAGTTTATCTTGTTTACAACATGAGTTTCTTTATTTTTTTCTAACCAAAAGCCCCAAATGAAATGAACTAATATTAAAATATTAAATATGTTGACTTATGACTTTGTGTCGTCAATTTGTATTGAGTGAAATTATGACTAAATAGCTTAATAGCATTGTTCACCTTTTTCCATTTAAGTTTCAAGTTCAATTTGTTAAAGTATAATCCTACCCCAACACAAAAATTAACAATACTTTCACAATTCAAAGTCATATATTTTAATATCAATAAGGTTATCTTATTATTCCCGTTAGATTTTTAAATCCCTAGTACTTTTACAACAAAGGATATAACAAAAACCAATTAAAAAGAATACTATAGAGAAAAAAATTTACAAGGCCTTTACCAAAATATAGCAAAATATAGGACCAATAGTTGTGCTTTTTTTCTAAAATATAAGTAAACTAAAATAAATTTTCCCAATTTCTCAGCGATTCATGACTAATATCTTCTTAGAATTTTAAGTTGTTTGGCGCTGCTAACAGAGTAGATTCTTCCTTTTTCAAGTTAGCATACAACTACAAGCTAGAAACAAGATCAGTATGTCACACCCTAATATTTAGAGTATGACCGATATAAAATATGAGATAGACTCACATTCATGAGCCTTAAGTAACTAAAAAAAATATTAAAAATTAATAATATAATTTACATCTAAATTTAAAATTTATAAGTTTTAACTATTTATAAAATTTTGACAAAATTTTTCCATAATAAGACTCTCCCAAAATTTCTACAATAACAAAAACTTGTCAGCCAAATCAGAAAAAGAATTTAACTCCATACCCAACAGATTTCACAATGATAAAATAAGACTAAGACCTAACCACGGTATACATGAAACACTAAATTACAATTGTATAAATATAATACATAATTACATCAAATTAGATGGCCAATATACATACTTCCGCCTTCAAAAAAAAATTGTGCCCTTCAATGATCAGTAAAAAATGCAAAGTTAACTTTAATATCTGAAACCAAAGACAATTTTTCGGTGAATAGTGTTCTAATTTAATGTTGAAAGAAATAATAAAAAAGCAATCAATGAGGCAATTATAAATTTATTAAAATAATCAATTAAAATTAATATAACCAAGAATACATAAATACAAATGAAATTATTAAAATTACAACTCCAAATTATTAAATTTCTACGCATACCTAAACCTCTTGGGATATATATATGTATATATATATTACTCATTATAAAATCCACAAATAAAAAAAAAATATCAGTTTGCTTTTGAAATCAACTCTAATGAAAATAATTTCGAAAATCCTTTCTCTGACGAAACTTAATTAGAACGATTAATAAAATAAATACACAATCCACAAGAGTAAGTAACATATTCAGCATGGCAAGAAGCCACGAAAAATAGATGCAAGCATAAAACTAATGAGTAACAAGCGTGAATTATATCCACGAAACTACATCTCCATTTCACGTGTTTGGCCGGCACATGAGGCTGGCAATTCCAATACACCCTACTGGCAAGGTGTATTATCACGTGCCAAGAGTTAATAAAACTATCATTAGTATCTAACATTTTGAACTCAATCCCCTTAATTAAATCAAGCGTACATAGAGTTGAAATATTCATTTAAAACTATTTCTTTTAAGGTATAATATTCAGCTATTAAATTTTTTTTTTCAATTTTTTCTCCATGCACGAATCACCACATTAACCATTGTCATATAAATTATGAAATTTAAACACTAGAACTGTTAGAATAGATAATCGGTTAATCAATATCCAAATCCAAATATTCTTAATAATAACATAATTCTTAATGAAAATAAAGCAAATTCTGTAATGAACTAATTAATACAAAAATGAAGTCAGAAGAATTGTATAAATCATAAAAAATATAATTAACAAGAATATTTTATATAATTTTATAAAGGAATGATATAAAATTTAAATAAAGAAATTTTATAAATATTTGCAAGAAATTATGAAAAACCACTACGTACTCATCTTTCATATTTTCAAATAACTCTATATCTGGCTCCTTTTAAGCTTCTTAATCGCACATTGTATTGAACACCTAGTGTGCATCCCAAATTAAATCACAAGACAACACAATAATTTATAAATTATCAAAAGTAAATTCTCAAGAATCCAATCAATCCCTCAATAACATAGATAAATTCTTTTATAATATTCAATTTAAATTCACAAATGAATAATACCCAAGCCAATTCATGCTTCTTGAGAGACCTAACGAAGTTATAGAAAAATACCAATTCAAGTATCTTCTCCAACAATACATTCATCAGCACAAGCTCTTTAAATTATTTGTAATCAAACTCCAACAACTCACTAGATACATGTCCACTCAATGAATGACAAACTTTAAAAGAGAATAGTTTAATATCCACTTTCTCATGTACAAGGCAGCATTGAACTTAATCATAATGTATATCATCATAGATAACCATAAGCCTCACATTAATCTAGAATACATATTCTTCTTTTTAAGCATGGCAAGTTCAAGTTAGTAACCCAAGCTTTCCAGCGCAATATATATATATAGATATATGACACCTTTCCAATTTTTCAACAGAGAGATGCACAACCTAAATACAAGTTGCAGTTATTAATAAAATTAATATGTTTGATTATTCTATTTCATCCAAATCCTCTTCTACACATTTTGAGCAAACACCCTATGAGCAACTCCATTCACACTACATAAAAAACCCCTTCCTCTTCAAATCTCTTACTAATATCCATTATCAATACTTTTTTTTTCCAAGCTTCTCAAATCTCACGCCTTGTACAATCAAAAATTAAACTCTCAACAGAACATCACTTGAAACTCACTTCTGTTTTATAATAACCGAATGCTTAAGGCAAAATTACTAACCTTATTAAGCTTCCAAATCTTCAATTTATGCTTTTTCGGATCCCCCAACACCAATACTTCGCGCACAGCAGCTCTACTCAGCAACAAGCCCATGACAGAAATAGGGAGAAGAAGACATCGCAGATCAAACATAAAGGAGGAAGAAGGATGTCCGACGCAACCCAAACCACGACAAGTATAGAGAAAGAAGAGAACTCCCATTCAGATCCCACGCACACCACGCCAGCATCGAGGAAAGAAAGAAAAAAAATAAACATAGAAAAGTGAAACAACAGTGGAAATTATAGCAGACTCACGGCGGTAAAGAGATGAGCAGGAACGGCGAGGTTTAGAGCAGAGAAGGACATCAATGACAAGGAGAGCAGTCTGACGGTGAGGGAGGAATTCAACGGTGAGGAGAGGAGAGGAGCAAGATGTCGGTGAAGAGGAAAGAAGGGAGAAAGAAGAAAAATAAAATGGGATGCTCCGTGATTCGAACGGCAGGGAAGAAAAATATCAGCACAAAAGAAAAATTAGGAAATTTACCAAAAAGGGCTCAAGGAAAATTATGAAAAAAGGCACAATTTTTTTTTTCGACAATTTAAAACTAATCTTATGATCAGAAAAATTTAACTCTGGACCTTTACGAAAATTACTAACATAAATTTCACTAAACTATCACTCTCCACTAGTTATAAAATTTTGACAATTAAATTTAATATCAATTGAGAAAGAAATTTAGTTAATTTAAAATTTAAAGTCACTGTAAAGTACATGAAAGCCCCCAGAATACAACTATGAAGTACTGTTAACTAGAGCTCGGAAACGACAGCTCAAAAAGAAACAATGAGAAGGTATGGTTTTCAGTTGTCTTCATGAACTACTAGCATTTGAAAAACCATCAAATTGTGATCGACTCAAGGAACTCACACCCATCTCTCCTCTCTTCTTAGGCGCTGATAACCGGTGCTTCGACCATTCTTCTAGCACCTTCCGATGGAGAGCATTCATCCGGATGTAAGGCCGTTTTTGTTTGATCATCTTCTCAGCATTTTTCCAATCTTCTGCAATACCTAGTGCCACTAACAGTGCACACATAACGGCAACACTTCTTCCATGACCTGTTAAACAGGAGAAACATATTAACAAGCTATATCATCTCATCATGCAAGTAGTACATCATCTGACCTGAATAGAGTCTATGCAAGATTTTATAACTGCATTGTCTTCTTGACCAAAGAATTTAATTAATCAATCTGAAAAATGTTCTTGACTTTCACGCAAAGGAAAGAATTGCAAAGAAAACTAATTCACATTATATTCATAAGAGTAAACCAATATTTCCATGCAAAATCAAGAAAATTTTTGTGACTGCATAGGACCACACAGGCGAGGAGAGATATGAGAGCTAACTACATGCACAGTGATGCCGAAAGAGGAAACGGAAAATTCTCAAAATTCAAGATCACTCAAATGTATTAATAATCAAGAATAACAACTACTGACCATATGCACATTTAAAGAAAAAGTAGGGGGCTCAAAAGGCTTAAATCAAATCCTTAATTGAGAGGCACCCAAGTTATATGGGATGGGAATGCTCCTCCAAAAACTAAAACTAACTATTGAGGTGGAATAATCAACTTACTTAAGTACCCTATAGAGTATTCCTTGGTAAAAAATTGAGACCTGGCATCTCACACTACTTTGGTCTCTATCAATCGACTGTCCTTGAAGAGTCCACACCACCATGGCTTTGTTCTACAATACCCAATTGATTTTTGCATTGGTTAGAACCCGCCATAGGTAGCTCTATTTAGAACCACTGACCACTAGCTATGATATCAATTAATAAACACTGAAGTGGCTTGCTGGAAGTAACTGGATTAATTGCTGAAAAGCCCAACAATGGCCTACATCCAGAGTTGCAGCATTTTTACGATTGCAACTTCAATAAATATTGTTTATTTCCTTATTTAATCAAACATCCTTTATCCAAAGAGTTTTGAGATTATTCTGTTACCAGGATCCGGGTAGTTTACATTTTCTGATATAGATACCATGGGATTTGACTGGATAAGGTTTATTTTCCAGCAATCCTTAAATACCTATGCACCCTAGATTGATTAAATAAGAGAGATACACCCAGAACAATTATTCTGGGCAGATTCTCTGGAAAATAACATGAGGCAAAAAACCCAAAAGCAAGCAAGCTGTTGAGGTGAGAGAATCAACTCACTCAAATAACTACAGAGTAATTCATACACCTCATCGTGGAACTAGGCATCCAATACTACCTCATTTTTTGTCATCTGTGTTGTTTAACCACTTAATTAACAATTCTTCAGAGAAACAGAACTGAAGCTCTGAGCACGCTAGATACACACAACCCCTGAAATGTGTAACAAGTTAGCACTCAGCACTAAATTCCAGTGATGTAGAAGACCCATGACCAGTACCAAATTCCAGCCTGTCTGCAAATCAAGAGACTCTCAAACAGACAATCAGAACCTGTAACTTGACTAACATGCATTATAAATATTGGAACAATATTTAGGGTAGGACAAGTTCGATGACCCTGAGACAAACTTCAAAACACTTCATAACTCCCTTGCATGCACTACTAGCCAGCAGCAGCGTTGCACCACAGTTATCTTCTTCATTCCCACCCCCCAAAGCAACACCCACCTTCCAATCCCCCGTGAGACGTCACAAAATCTATTTGCTATTCCACAGACAACTCCTTGCAAATACACTCATGATTCTCACTTATAATTCTATCCAGAATTGGAGTACCAAGAAGAGAAAGAGGAACAAGAGCAGGCTAGTATGTGGTGGTGGTCACAAGATATTTTCTTTCTTTTTTCTTTTTTTCTTTTTTGGGGGGTGGTCGGGCATTATGGATCTTAGAAATGGGAACCATGTGAAAAACAGAAGATAAGGAGAGAAATGAAAGTTGTAAAGGAAGAGTTCAGATAATCTTGTAACCTTGCCATAGATGAACATGTTCTACCATCATGATAAAATCTGTGAAAAGTGAAACAACATAAAATAATGCTGGGAGAGAAAAAGAATGCATACATATGCGCAGAGAGAGAGGGGGGCTAAGAGAAACTGGTAAACTGTGTGTAAGCCTTGGCCTCTGAACTGAATGTTCCTATAAAAGGCCCAAGAAAGAGAAATTTAAAGCCAAAAACAAGGGGAAGAGGGAAGAAAGAGAGAACAAAGACTACAAGATATCAATTCATAAGAGCTTAGCTAATCTTACAAAGACAATCACCAAACAAACCTACCAAAAGGAGTCTACAGAGAGGCCACAAGTAATTTTATCCCAATCGTTTGATAGAACATAATGGTGTACAGTAAAGCATGGGAAACACAATAGAGTGAAGAGCATACCAATGGCTAAGCACCATCTCCAAATTCAAGCTAGAATAAAGAACCATCTCAAGATGGGATAAAGGAGGAAATAAGAAACTAGCTGAACTATTTAACAAACAGACAAGCATAACTATGAAGAATTATGAATATGCTAGACTTTGAGAGAAAATGAAAAAATAGAATAGAAATGAATTCAATGATGTGTTATTGTGGTTTGTAGATAAAGAAATGCAGTTTGCCTGTCTTTTACTTATTTTTTCTTTTTTCTTTTCCCTTTTTTTTTGGCAATAGGAAGTTTGCCTGTCTGGTGCAGCATAAACTCATCACAGCCAATTTTACTTTTGATAATTACTTTTAAATTTTTGGTCATCGACATAAAATAGATGGACTTAGGACAGATTAAGTTATAAGTAGAATACGAATGCAAGGCACCAGAAAGACACATGATCTCCTGAAATAACAAGCATGATAACAGAAAACTATCGTTTCAAAGTTTGAAAGTCACAATGTAAAATAGTTATAAAACTAAATAGATTAGATATCATCTATTTAGATATCATCTTATCCTGTGACTGACAAATCCAAAGGATTGGTGTGAAAAAAGAGGAGCTTGCAGGTTTGAGATAAGTGTTATGATTTGGCAACAACTGTAAGTTCAGAACCAGCAATTTTTCATGGGAGACATCAAGAATAAAGTCCATATAATGATTCTCTGCTAACATCATATGTTAGGAAAAGAACCCAGCCAACATTTGATTGACCACGTAAAATTTCAAATGTTCTAATAAAGGAAAATTGAGCAGATTAGAGTGCGTCCAAATGTAGAGCCATAAATGTGTAGTACCATAAATGACAAACTAAAGCGAGAAGGAAAAACGACCAGATCCGTTGAAAGTCGTCCATATAATTAAATTATGAAATGCAGATGATGATTAATGACTGGCACACTTCTGCAGCTGATAATATATCACCAGTTCCCATGCCCTTGTGCAAGTAAAACACAAGTAGAAATGAGTTATAGAACATATAACAGTGAAGTGAAGAAACTAGAAACCTAAACAAGACTTCACGAAAGGCCAATGCGAGCAGTCCAAGATACTTCTCTATTAAACTTCAATAGCTTACCATATGCGCAGTGGATGAAAATGGGCCTTTTGAGTTCTCTCTTACGAATAGCCCACTTAACAGCGGCTTCTATTTCAGCAGGTTGAGGAGCCCTGGTGTCCCAAGTTGGAATACATAGATATGCCAAACCTGAGAATTCTGACTTTCTAGGCAGTTCACAGGTGCAATCAATAATGGCTGGATCGCCTGGTGGCAATTTCTCACGTGAAGATGGCCACCCACCAACATATAGTCCCTCAGAAATTTCACTGTAAGGAGCTTCCCGGCTTCTCATTCTCCTCAATGTTGAGAAAAGTCGAACAAAGTACAAATATGGGCTGAACATGATTAATGCCCAAATGGGGAAGCTCCCATCTGTGTTCTTCCCCAAAAGCATTGGAAGATTGATTGATGGGTGTGAAGCAATCGACAGCAAAAATGATACCAGAGAGGCATAGAGGAAAGGAACAGTTAAAAGCATGAAACCAAGGCTTCTAAGGTACACAAAACTCAGAAATAGCATCGTAGCTTTCAATCCTATCAGTACAGAGATACCCACACCCATTTTCTTTAGAATTTCAGAACAACGACAATGAGAAAAACAGAAGGGTCAGGAATTTATTAGATTCGCAAGCTCCTAGGGACGAAAACGGCTCCAAAATTTAAAAAAAAAAAAAAAAAAAAGAAAAACAACGCGAAGATAGACGCGCTTTGGAAAGACAGTTCTCTGATAGTTGACCAAGTCGGATCAGTAATCGCAGGAACTGATACTCTCAAGATAAGAGAACCAAAGCCCTGCGCGCGCGTTTGGGTGTGGGATGGGGAGGAACGCCGTTGGCTTGTGGCTAATTAACTTCCGTGATGGACGTTCCCTTTTTTTTTTTTTTTAAAATAGAAGGCCATGGTAAAATTGGTGCAGACGGACAATTAAGTTATATACAATTAATAAATGGGCTATTAAAAATTGGAATATTTAAATTGTCAAAAAAAACTTGAGGAGACTCATCTATATATTTATTAGCTTTTCTGAAGATGTGGACTGACCATGTCAATAATTTAAAATCGCAGATTTGCAGTTAATTTACCAGTTGTGAAATGATCTAACCATGTCAATAACGTTTAATAATTTAATTTAATAATAATATATTAATTAAGATTTAATTATTTGATTGAATTGAAAAATAATATTATAAGAATTTCATTATTTTGAAATTGTAATTTGTATGGTTATTTAATTATTTGAACACAGAAAAATCCAACAAAATAAAAAATACTTTAAACTCGCATGTCCTTTACTGAAATTATTAATTTTTACACTAAAATTATCAATTGCTATTATATAATTTATAGTGAAGCTATTCAGTTAACAACTAAATTACAGTAATTAACAACTATCACGAAAATGTATAAGGGGATAATGAGGGAAGGTAAATTATAAGGGATATCTGGAAAAATGAATTGTTTAATGCTTAGTCCTTATTTTGTTTTCTCTACTTCAAAACATAATGACTTATTATATATGATTATAAAATTTTAAAGATTTGATTGATAAAAGCTAAACTATAAGAACCAAATAGATAATCAAAATAATTATGAAGGACCAAAAGCTTAATTATTCCAGAAAATACTAATTTAAATTTTAATAAAAAAATTGAATAATTCTAACAGAAAGAAATTTTTGAATATTTTATTATAATATTTAATATTTAATATTTAACTAGACTCATTTTGCCAGAAATATAGATACAAGGTTGATTATTATAGCGACATAAATCAATTGATTTTACTTCTTTAGAATACCCACGGTACAGAGTACTTTGGTATGACTTTTGAATTCAAGTAATAATTCATAAAAGATGCCATTCAAAATGGTATCATCTTATATGAACAAAATATATATTATTGAGTCACACCGGTCGTCTTGGTCTTGTCACCAAATACTCACATTTTGGGCATTATCGGGCATTCAAAATACAAGGATCAAGATAATATATCATTTGTGCCAAAAAAAAAAAAAGGACAACAACATATCAAATGGTCTTTAAGTAGAATAAACTAATAATATAAATCTGGGGAATGACATGAGGCACAGCCCAGGATCTGGATTTCCACTTACAAGTCTAGCTTTAAGGAAGATCAATGGAAGTTTTAGTTCCATAAAATCCAGGCAGCAGAAAGACATGTATGGATCTTGAGCTCATTATGATTGAGTACAAGAACAGTTTTACATTGAATTATTATTTTACAACTATGTTCTAAAAGTGGCTCACCCATCTATCCTCAGTAGCTATCAATATCCGTCTCCGGCCTCCGCAGGTAGTAACGCAGACAGTTCACTAAAACCTGCAAATTCAAGCATGCAAGATTTTGGATTCCAAATACGAGCCAAATTGGTTCCATAATCAAAGCGGTCATGTTTGATAAGTGAACATCTTGATTTTTAATTACTTGAAATTGAGTTTCTATTCAAAGAAAACTTGAGTATTAGATTTATGAAAAGAATCAGTATTTACATTTTATTCAGGTCACATACAACAGGTAAATAGGTTTTTCAAGTTCCTATTCACACGTACCGTACCACTTTATGCTCCATTTGGTGCAGAGAAATGAAAGGGGTCATAATTTTAGTTTCCCCACCCCCACCCTTTTTTTGGTTCCTTTTACCAATGCCTAATACACTTATTACTTAACAGTTCCTACTTTTTTTACTATTTTTTCAAATAAAGACACGAAGATCATTTTACCCCATCCAAATCACTTCTTGTTATTTCAAACTTTCCTGTTATGTACATCAAAACGAGCCATCACTAATAGGGGGATTGGTAAAGTTTATTAGTGTCTCGGTGTCTTTCAGTTCCCTGAAAAAAATTATCTAGTACTTAATAATCTCTATTTTCAGAAGTATTATAAAAAAGAGAAGAGGGGCCGCTACGCAAGGGAGGTGCGTGCTAGCCTTCCCAGTCATCATATTTCAGCTTTTATCTGAATTTTACAGAAATAGACAATTAATTACTGCATTAGTTTTCCGGCAGCACCAAAGTGAAAAATTTGCAGCCCCAGAATTGCAAAGAAATTGACTGAGTCTTCATTTCGTATGAAATCTAAAAGTACCTGAGACATTGAATTGTTTAATGCCGCACCTCCATAGCTGACATGAAACTTATCCTTAGCAACCAAACCCTGAAAGATGAAAGGCGAAGTTGATCATTGATTATCTCAGAACAAAAGGAGAGAGACAAGGAAAACAGAATGAAGTAATACTTCTGTATCAATCTCTGCCGATTCAACATCAATGTTTATATCTGCAATGACACTGATGATTTCACCTAGCAACCCAGCTCTGTCTGCCGTCTCTATGCATAGCAAGCTGGTAAATATTGAATAGAAAATGCATTAAATTATATCAAGCACCTACTATGAAAGCACTCCCAAATATTGATTAAAAGAGAGATCAGAGAAATTCTATGACACACTCACAGTGATGCCCTATTTAGTAGAGAGGGAGGGAAAGAATTCTCTTCATATCTTCGCAATATCTATCCTACCCTGGTAATTATTATGTGACAACTTTTATCCTTTTTATTTAACAACAAAAAAAAAAAAAAATAGGGATACGAGAGTCATTTATGATCTCAAAATTGCTTTTTGCAATTCCTTTTTCATTACATTCCCCTCTGTTCTATAAATCAGAGAAGCCATGAGAGATAGAATCCTCAGTGCAAGTAGAAACACCCAACGTCAACAACACAAGAAAACGGCAGTAAAGCAGCAGAGTAGCCTAATTATAGCTAAGTAAATGAAAGGACAGAACATTTGTTGGTTCATTCTCCACAAATCCACCTCCTTTATCCTCCACTTCCTTTCAAACACTTCAAAACAGAAAGTGCCAAAATGAACTGTAACTGTAAAATCACAAGCCACGGACCTCCTCTTAGGTCCATCTTCCTTGACATGTATACGTGTTGCAATATCAACGTCAAGCTACATAGAGCAACAAAGGGAAGTTATTGTTAGTGAGAATTGCTGACAAGAATGCACAAATGAACCAGATATGACATAAGAAAGTCGTTCCATAAAGCTCTGGAGTATATCTAAAGCCGAAAAAAATATCAAACATTTTCCCTCCAATGGTTATTGAAAAAAAGGATCTTAAGTATCCAGTTCTAAAGCAGCAATCTCTCTAAAAGCAGCCATGAAGGAAGGCTAAACTAGAAAGGTACCAATCACCTTCTTTTCTGGAGGTTTAATTCCAAACACCTCACCCATAGCTAACTGTGCGCTGCACTCCTATAAAATGTATACAGTACTTGTAAGGGAAAAGCATTTGAAAAGTGTAAATAATGAGAAAAACTCAAATACGTACACCAGATAAAAACCCTAGAAATAAACATCTATCAAGCATACTTACAGGATGATACTTCAACAAATTGCCAATAACAGTAAGTCGAATACTCTCAAGCATATCAGGATCTTCAACTTTGCGTCCAGTGTCTCTGCATAATAAAATAATCAAAACCAATATTTAAAAACCAGATGCATTCAACTTTGCTATGTTAAAAGTAATGTTGATTATAATGATACATTGGTAGTGATTAATATCACTTCACAACTGCATTAAATCAGAAACTTTTTTTCTTTTCATGTTTTATGTATTCAGTTTCTCCAAAAATATCAGACAGTACTCAATGAAGGAGAAGACGAACACTCACAATTGAGTGATGAAGAATTTTGTTTGCTTAACAGATCCTTCAGTGGAAACAGTTCCCTTTGAGACATCCAATCCCAACTCTTTTAATGCTTTTATCTGCCTTGACATGAGCATGAGTCAATTATTAATTATAATCTATTAATAATAATTACTAATGGTGTAGGGAGAGAAATAAGTTCACATCTAGATGCATGTATAATGGAACCCTTAGGCAACTTAATAAGAACAATGTTTTAGTAAAAGAACAAGTGATTTTCCATTAAAATCACAATTAAATAGTTTAATGTCAACCTTCCCACCTCCACGATCATTCAGTTTTTTTCTTTTTTCAATGATATTAAGGAAAGGAGAAAACAAAGTAAAAGAAGATGGATGACAAGTAGGAGAGGACTGTGTGTGCGTGCCAGCATGAGCAAAAACCTTACTAATAGACATAATATAGGATGGGATCAAGCGAACTAATTCTTTCTATACCCACATGTGCGTGCTTGCTTGAAAAGCTTACTAATACTTCAGGATAGTAGCAAGTGCAAATCTTCTTTAACCATCACAATCAAATAGTGTGAACATCTCTTAAGTAACAGAATCATGCCTCAAAGATGTCAGATCAAGAATGCATTGAGTGATCCTACTATATTGCAGGAATTCAAAAGACATTGAGTTATTAATAGCCACATTACTGTGTCAACAAGGGCTCCAAGGCGATCACCAAAGCTAATCTGAACAATAGTGGCATCGGAATCTGAATCTTGATCAATCAGAACTATTGGCATAGGAACATTATCGAGATTTTCATCAGACTTCTGCAACAAGAATTTCCAATCGCATGTTCAGCTGTATACATGCATAAAAGCATATCGTATCCTTGCTTCGAGGGACCAAACCCATAAAACACCGAGGGTACACATGACAGTAAGAATTAAAAATTGGAAGATCAGAATATCATATGTTCAACAGAAACAATAATCTATTTAGTTGTCAATATAGGTTCAACTGCCACGTGGGCTGTTGCAAGCATAAAAGAGGAAAAAATCATAAAAGACTGACAAGTAAAATACAAAAGTTAAGATACGATAGCCTTAGCTTTATCTAATTGCAATATGACATATCATCCACATGCATGAATTAATCAGCCCTGTTCCATCAACCATCTAAGAAATTTTTTGCAAATCACAGCTAATAATAGGGGATTGAATGTTTCAGATTTCAATTCTTTCAGCTAACAAACATTCTAACACCAGTATGGAGAAATAAGCTTGTTACTCTTGGCATCTTGATAATCACAAATATTAGCCATAATTGAAATGATGGCAAGAAACGCATCACCTACCACTGAAGCAGATCCAACAGAGTTCAAATCATATGCGGATGCATTAATAACAATCCTGCATAACGTTTAAACCAATGGTAGGGGTGAAATAATATATAGACTGATCACAATAAAGCTATTTAAAAAAAAAAATTAAAGCTTCAGCTTTAGCCAACCTCACTTTCAGAAATCATCACTCTGATGAAAACAACATCAAAAGAAAGTGTTCTAAGAGAAATTCAGAAAGTCATAACACAAATCAACCATACTTTTTAGTTGAGTTTTTGAACATCTTGGTTTACAAGCAGTTTATGCCTTAACTTATGAAGACGACTTCATTCACTTTTCAGTTCATAACAAATTAAAAGGGTAACATGCTATATCATCCATGAAAAAGCATCAATTTGGACTAATCAGGCTAAATTGCTGACAGAGGAAAGAAATTATGTGCAGAAGAGCCTTAACATAAACATAAAAAATAGGCCACTCAGATGGAACATCTGCATTGAATACACATGTTCATAATACAAGAGACAATAATGACTCCCGTAAAATAGCTATTTTAGAGCTATAAAGCCTTTCCTTCATGCTATGCGTTTGCCCTGTCGAATTATTTGAGAGAATTTGAGGCTAAGTATAGATGGAAGGCCGTATGATTTTGAGAACAGCAAACTTCAGAAGAGAAAGTTGTCGTGCAAATTCTTAGAAAACAGAAGATAGAAGAGTGATAGAGTTTAACAGTAAAAAAAGCATATAAACACTCCTAAATGTGCTGACTCCTGCATACTGCGTTTCAATGACCAAAAACCAAATATGATGATGATGAGGATGATGAGATCGCTAGTTAACTCTTTTTCCTTTTTCCCTTTATTTCCCACGATGAAAGATCATTACATTCAAATGGAAAACAGAGTCAAAGCAAAGAAGGTACAGTTTAATTACAGAGGTGGTTGAGGTAGATCAATGGGATGGAAATTAAGGCGGAATCCATTTTATATCTGTCCGTAAAGGAAGAGAAGTAAACAAAAGGAATGATTTATTCCCCTGAGAGAAAGAAGAGGGAAACTCAAAGTTCTAAAAGAAATTCTACGAAGTTCTAATTTCACCCAACAGTAAAATCACTCAATCTAATCATTTACGTTCCCAAACAAGCACGTGCTTCCGCTTTATATACATAAACCACACTTCTGATCATTTTCCATCAAAACCACCTCAACAAAAAGACGATCACGGGCACTTTCATCCAATTCCATTTCCTAGTGAAAATCACATTTCATTCCATTCGCTTGCATCAAAATTTCGGGAGCAAAAAAAGAACAAAAACGGCCATAATAATTCATACAATCGCACTAATTCCAAACAAAAGAACTTGAGAGGATCAAACCCTGCACAAACGAAGACAGAACTTTGTTTACCCCACATTCAGATTCGATAAAACCAAACAGCTCAAGAATGAATGCATAAGAAAAAAAGACACAGGCATTTCTTACATTCTCCGGGAGAGAGCTTTCCGGGATTGGCGAATGGAGGCAAGAGATGATGAGTGAGAAGTAAGAAAGAGGGGATTGTGATGCCTGGTTGAGTGATGGGGTGTGAAGGAAGGAGAAAGAAGAGCGTTGGTAGAAGCCATGGATGAGGATGGAAGGATCGGAGAAGAGAGAGAGAAAGGTGGCGATTGGAGCGTCGTGATCTCTGGGAAACTGAGTTATGAGAGGGAGTGTGACGGAGCCGATGGCATCAGAATCTCAGAAGCCAAACAGTGTGAAAATTATGTCTTCTGCCTACTATTTTAAAGAATTTGCGTTAAAATTCTCAAGACTAAAATTATTTTTAGAAACGTTTCCAACTCAACATACTACCTCCTTACTGGTTTTCTCAAATCAGTTGGCGGGATGAATTTATCTTTGTTGTTGATATGGTGGTTGTTTTTGTTGCTTATCTGTTTTTGTTTTTTAGTTTATGGTTTGTTTTTTCTAGGTTTGGTTTGTTTATGCTATTTGGACCTATCTGTATTTTGTTTTAGTTTTGTTTGTTTTTTCAATGCAGTGGCCCTAAAAAAATAGTGTGACTATTTTATTGGATTTCAGTATTGCAATCTTTTTACTGCGTTTTAATAAAAATTTGCTTTTTGCTCCAGAAAAAATTAAAGTTATTATCAAATTTAACGTAATTTATTAATTTTTTATAACAATTTTTTTTACAAAGTCACCGTTAGATTTCAACGAAAAATGTTAAATTGATTTTTTAGAAAGAGAAAAGAAATTATATTCCAATAAAAAAACTACATTACCATAAGCCGTGCATAAAATATGTTAAATCTACTACCTAACCTTATATGGCTATTTTTCTTACAAAATAATCATTTCCAAATTAAATGGATTTTGACTTTAATTTCTGTGGACTAAATTACACTGTCTTTCTTGAATGACATGACTCATAATGGTTTAGAATAAATATGATTTGTCATTGGTTTTATATTTTATATTGAAATTAACTATAACAATTCCGGGCAAGCATGACATTTGACTTGTAGTTGTATATTTGGGACAATTGCATCCAAGGCCCTAAGAAGTAATATAATATTAGTTAAGGCCCAAATAATTTTGATTTTCTTTTACAAGTCCAAAGGCCGTAAGTGATAATTTTTCAAAGCAAATGACAAAGTCACCGCTTGAGTGGAAAAAAAACACTATACACTTAACTCTCCATCACTCAGAAAAATTAATACTCTCTTTGGTCTAAAAGATAAATAGCTTTTGAGAAAAATTCACATGCTAATTAAGTTATTATTTTTATAAAAATATATATTATTTACTTTTTTCACTCAAGTCTCAATTACCAAAACACTCTATAATAAATAAGAAATATATTCATACAAAGATTTATATTAATAACTAGAGGAATAAATTGAAAAAATATATATATACATATATATATACTAGATTGTTTATCTTTTAAACTAAAATTAGGTGAGTGAAAATATTTATATTTTAGACTAAAGGTAGTGTCACTCAAGGCCTTCCGGCCTATACAAAAAATCAAATTAGTTGGGCCTTAATTAATATTACTTTACTTCTAAGAATTTTAAATGCAGTTCTCCCTATATATTTGTATAAATAAGATTAAAAAGCGATCACTAAAAACAATCATAAGTTCCTAATCCTACTACATTTAACAAAAAAACTTTATGATAATTAATAGGTTTGACTTTTGAAAATATCATAAAGACTTTTCAATATAAACATATTACTTGATGGGTTTTTAGATGTAGTTTTGCCCAAACCGAACGAGGCGGGGTCTCTCTTCTTCTTCTTTTTTTGGTTGTTGGATTTTTTATTTTTTTATTTTTGGCCTGAGGGGTCTTTTTCCTTGGAAAAGGGGAAGAGCCGGAATCTGGTGGTGAACGCGAGTGACGCTTTATTGACAGAGTTGGGCTACCCTTGAAAGCCACGTCAGATTCAACTCTTGTCTTCTTTTCTTAGGAAAAATGACCATTTAGAACGAAACAAAAAAAAAATGTTATTTTCAAATTTAAATTCTAAAATGTCAATAAAAAATATCGGTCCATATGTGACACCTAAAAAAGTCAATTCATTTTTTTTTTGGGGCGAATTAAAACAGTCAATTCATGTAAGAGAAATATATAGTGATAAAATTTCAACTCGTTTATTAGTAAATCCCAAAAGCTAAATTGATAAAACCACGTGTATAAGTTCGAAATTCTGGAGATTTAGTTGGGATTGTTATATAAGCATTTTTTCCTTCCAAATAAACTTTCAGGATTTTTAACTTGTATATTTTATTTTTTTTAACTCAACTTCCATTACTTTTAGAATTGAAGAATGAATGAAAGAAATACCTAATTGAAAATGATTTTAGTCGAGCTTCCAAGATTTTCAACTTATATGAAAAATTACTTAATTAAAAATGATTCCAACAAGTACACCGAAAAAAATTATTCCAACAAAGCTTTAAATATTTTCATCTTATACGCAAAATTTTTCAACTTACTAAGTGCTTACAACTTAACAACAAAATATAAATTGAAATTTCTACAACTTTTTTTCTCTTACTTGAATAAGAGCTATTTGATTATTGGCACTTTTATCGTCACCAAGGTATCATAGTTCTTAATTAACAGTTTAAAATTCTAGAGTTATATGGCATAATCATCTTTGTTATTTGGTCATAAAGTGTTATTTTGCCCTTTTTAAATTATTCCCTTGAAATGAAAAGGTACAATAATTTTGATGGAGTTCGACGCTCACCATAATTGGACTATATGGAACGTCTTTTCAGCTTTTGGTAGCATTGTCTCCAAGTCCAAATGTCATATAAAAAATAAAATTATTATTTTAACTCAATATTTAGAGATGAATTGAAATGACCCTTTCATGGGATGGGATGCAAATTTGATAATCCAAACAAGCAGGTTAGGTCTTTACTTGTTGGCTTTTGTTCTTTTTTAAATTGGCAACTTCTGCTCGCTGGCTTCGCTCCAGAGGATTTGCCTTACCAATAAAATTATTTTTGCATATGCGCACATTTTATGATGGTTTGATTATCGTTATCCAATCATTTATTTTAATTATTTTTAAAAAGAGACGAGAGAATTATTTTGCTTAAATCTTTTTTGTTACATTTATTTTTGTTACATTTAATGATTTAACCTGTTGTGCTAAAGATGAGTCTACACTCCACACTTCAATATCAAATTATAATGATTACGTTATACAATAAAGACAAATCAAAAGACTATAGTTACTCATCCCGGACAAATTAATCATAAATTGATATTTTAGTCAGGCCCATAAAATGATAATGTTATTTTACAATCGAATTACTAGACAAGGTACGAAAAAAATTGTAATCTGTTTTATTTTATTTTTTTAACTGAAAAGATACGATTTCATTAATATTGAAAAGGAGAATTACACACACTAGAATCAAACAAGAATAAGAAAGTAATAACCCGTATACAATCCTAAAGCAAAACAAAGAACGCTAAAGTATAAACTAAAAAACAGAAAACAAAGTACAAAACAGAAAAATAACAAAAGAAAAATGACTCAGATTAGGACTGGTGATCTGTTTTATTTGGAGTAGCAGAGTTCATCAAGAAGAAGATCAACTTTAGCTTTTGGCTTTGCTACAAAAGAGACGTTTAAAATTCTTGTTCGTCTTACAAAAGGGGGAAAATCCGTAATCATTTAAAAAACAGCTTCATCACTTCATGTCTTTGTCAAACATATAGGGGTAAACTAGCTTGTTTTTTTATTTTAAAAAGAGAAGAGAACTTCCTCATCCTGGCCAAATAGGATCAGTGGATGGCACCGGAATGAATTCAAATTGTACAAGAAACATGTACTAGTGGCTTTTTTAATATATAAATAGAAATAGAACATAACGAAGAAAATCATTTCAAACAAAAGAGAAAATCGTGGTGCACTTACATAAAAAAAAAATAGTGAAAATAAAAACTATTAAAATATGAAACAACATAATAGATATTACAAAGTACCGAATCAATTGAAAGCACATTCCATTGCCTAAACCAAACATGGTCTTCTAATGTGATGACCCAAATTGACGCCAACAGTAAATACAGGGAATACAACTTGTGGAGTTATGGTACATAAAAGTCAAGGCTACTTAAACCCATTATGAGCCGTTGGTGGAGAAGGCATTACTTATCTGTATGGTGGAACTCCTAGCATTGGCTCCAAGGGAGCCAATTGGTGTTGCAGGAACTGATAAACTGATTCAGTGGTCACAGCAGCCACCCGAACAATAAGACCGGTTCTCTGCACAAAATAAGAGCTAGCAGTTAAAACCTTGTATGAATCGTAAGACAGCCATGAAGCCTTCATGACTAAAACGAAGGTTTTGAGGTAGCAGCAATCAATGAGGCACCAAAGCTTCAAAACCAGAATCATTGGTCTAGTACATATCTGAAAATTTTACCGGATATGACACAACACTTTCCTAATACTCGAACATGGCATATTTTGTCACGTTACGGTGTCAACAATGCCCCAAATCGGTGACAATCTTCCAATATGGTTTTATTCAACTGTTTACTCTGTCAAAAGGCAAGTCACCATGCTAATTTTTGTAACTAAGTATTTTCCAAAGGGCAAAAAATTAATTATTTACGTGTTTGCTATCAGGCATGAAGTTCTCTATTCAAAATATAAATTATAACATATGAAAGAACTTTTTTGAAATAGTTAATCTTGTGGTGCAAAACTTTTAAAAAAATCCTCATATCTTTTTTTTTTTTGTTTTTTTAGAGAACTCAACAGCATACATGTATAAGGAAGTTTATCTAAATTTTCTCCGATAAATTATTGAATCCCGAACCCAGCAGCCTCAACAAATTATAAAATCAATGTGGAATCATAACTGAATTCCATTAGTCGTTAAGGTAAGGTAAAAAAGGACATAAAGTAACACCACTGATATTTTATACTTTTTCATTTCATATTCCAACATTAAAATCTACGAAGCAATAGTATTGCTTCGACACTCTCCACTTCCAAGTTTCACCCAATAAAATGTAATAGAAATTATTTTGGGGAAGGACTTAAAACTGGGACCGCTCAAGTCAGACATAAATAAACTCAACATGCCTTCAAATAATGACACAACAATCCGTTATCTGGACATTTTATCAAAGCTCATGTGTTAATAAAATAATAACTACCTTTGGACCAAAGAAGCTGCTAGATGCAATGAAGCTTGGTTTTGACATGCAGTACTCAGAATTTCTTCTAGTTTGATGGCTCAAAGTTGCGGAAGGGTGTAGTAATTGCTCGGACATTATTCTTTTCACATGATCTTGCACTAGATTCTGAACATGCTGCAGCTTTGGCCTAAAAAAGTAAAGTATTGGGTACAGAAATTTGTAATAAAAGAAGATCAAAGCATAAAATAAATCACTCACCCTAGGAGTACAATCATTGCAATTACTTGGTAGTTCTGCATGTAACCTTCCACACGGCCAACTTTTTCTGTATCCAATAAAATCTGTTTGCATGACTGAGACAACTCAGCACTCAGCAGAATAAAAGAAGAAAAGGCGGATAAGCATAACATGCATGACATGCGTGCGCACATACACAGAGATGCAAAACAATCCCATTGCAATCATCACTAACGGCATTTGCTGCAAGTATCATCTGAAGTCTCTGTGAGCTCTTCGTTTTTGTTTCTTGTTTAATGCGTTTCTCATGGACCAACAGCTCTCTACTATTTGCCTTAACTTCTTATTGTAGAGGGGGCATGGCAGATGTAATTAAAAGAATTGCACAAGTTACATAAGCTGTTTGAAACCATCTACTACTTCCATATCTACCATTTTCTTTTACCACACTTTATTAGCATCTTGCAAAAATGTCTAAAAGAGGACCACTTCTTCATTTTAGACTTCAGAGGAGGGAGGTGATGATATTAAATGCCTTATGCTATGTTTGGTTAAAGGGGAGGGAAAGGATTTTAATGGAGGGGAGATGAGCAGAGGGGCAGTAGCAATCCCCCCAATTTGGGAGGAGGGAAAATTCATTCCCCTCCCCTCCAACCAAACACAATGTTAGACAATGATTCCTTACCAAGAGGTGTTTCTCACATGAAGGGTTAAAGGATGTGATTTTGCTCCCAGGCATCAATCACATTCCCATTTGTGTAGACTATGCAGGCTAGAAATGACCAATTGTCAAAAAGCGAAAGTGGCATTTAAAATTGTTTGATCTGACAGACAAATTCAATGAAAACCTCTGAAAATTATTTTAACATTGAACCTTTGAGGTGGCAGAGTTTCAGTTTGATTCTCTCTATCTTCTGACTCATGGCAGCTTGCCCTAGTTCTGTTACAGAAATTTTTGCCATTGGGTTATCCATACATTCACCTGGAAAGGGAAAAAACTCATCTCTTTCTTGACAGATTCCATTCTATTTTCCATAAATTGTACCAAACTTATACAACAACGAGATATCTCAATTTTTCCACAATCTTGTTAATCCTAATGTTTTAGTATCCACCAAAAATGTCATAAGCTTAAATTTGCATAAAACAGAACTTGCCAAATTTGTTATGAGTAGATTAACCATTTGAATCACAACATAGCCTTTAGAATTGGAGTACAATAAATAACTTCTCAAGAAATTTCCAGAAAGTTTCTGTGAATAAAAAAAGAAGAAAATAACTTCACCCTTAAATCAACAATCCTAATATTTTCTTCTTATATTCTTGTATTGGTCAGTTTTGCTGCATTTTGCAGCTTTGTCAGCATTCTCCCATTTCATACATTCTCTATATCGTTTCAAAGGATATATTACCCTCCCCTCATTAAAATTCTTCTCAGTTTATCCGAGGAGAAGTTAAAAGATACCCCATGCATCCCAAATTATAAGACAATTTGAGACAAGATTACTATCAGGTGCTCAAAAATAACAAAGGAAATAAAAGGAACATATCTATTAAGATGATATAGAACAAGAATCTCGTTCTATACTTCTTTCAATAACTACATTTAGGAGGATCTCCAAAGGTTTAAAAGACTATTTTTTTATTGATGATATGCTAGCTTTTGAGTTGCTAGTCACATTCATAAAGCCAAATACAATCCAAAATACTAAATAAAATTTAGATAACTAGATAAGTAAATAGAAACTAAATAAAATCTCCTAAAATCAATATCTGGATAAAATATTGAATCAAATAAAAATAAAATCTCATGAAATATATCCTAAAATATTTCCAATTTAAATCAAATAATAAAATCAAACTCAATTTATCTTCTGATGCTTCCTTCTCGAATAAGTCTTTAATGGAATTCTATCTAGAATTCTATCAATTACACATATCAATAAAGCTCAATAATGACACTTTATAAACTTACTTTTTCAAAACAAAAATATAAACTTTCAAAAATATCCTTAATTTAAATCTGTATGCTTAATTATTATACCACAATCATTTCAATTCTCTCCTCTTGAAGGATAATATTGAAAAAGTATCATTAATAAAATATTATTTTTGTCAAATATTCTTATATTTTGGGACAATAAAATACATTTAAAGTTGTCTTATAACTTGGGATAGAGGTAATACAACAGAAGAGGATGATAAGATTCTCCTTTATGAAGACCTGAAGTAGAAATAATGAAAAGACAGTAAACTCTTGGAGAAATTAAACTTATGCACTTTGCAAATCTGCCATATCCAAGAATTTTCAGAAAAACTATCATAATAAGTGGAAACAAGCTATATTCTAAGAATCGATACCATTACCGTATCTAGAAGCAAAGGTTGATCATCTTCTAAGAATATGTTATTCATGCTTCGGTAAAAATTGAAGTCCCATTTTTCTCCACTTTCATGGCGCCCACTTGTGAACCAATCAACAATGACCAAACTTGAGTCTGTAGATACTCTGAAGACTTGTTTCTGAGAGTATCTTGCAGTGGAAAAACATGTCACTGGATCTGGAATAATGGCTAAGAATGCATCGCTCCCAACTCTTGCCTACTACATGGAGTAAATTTATCATTGCTGTTATCCATTGAATCCATCAGACACACCAATAGCCACATCAGTAAAATAATACTATTCTCTTCCAAAATAAAAGTGTCTCATCTTATTAGAACTATGCCAGAAAAACTCAAAACTTTAATTCATTATACTACTGCCCAAAAAAAAAATCTTTAATTCATTATACAACCGCCAAAAAGTATACCATGTTACAAGCTCAAAACCATAAACCTTGAAATAAATTGAGTAATGTTAAGGAAAACTTTTCACTGTCATTTAAAACGATGACTTGATGAATCAAGCCAATAATGACAAACACAGGTCTTGGTCAATAAAAAGTTAAAAATGAACATACGGGACAGAACACACCATAATGTCCAAGTAAAGTTTTGCTTTATTATTATTCTTACCTCCAATACTTGTTCAGAGCACTTTGATCCCACAGATTTATAAACCTATACAAGGACAAAGCATCCGCCATTTCTCCAACCAGTCAGCTAATGTATTGTGTGCATCTTACACAGAAGTAATCACAGCTAAAAACCACTCATTTCAAAGGAAATAATAATGATAAATAAAAAGGCAGAAATTAGTTTACCTTAGTGGAAGCTTGGGTGGTTAACACTGCGGTGCAAGCATTTCCCACAGAAAGCTTGCATGAAATGCGATCACCCTGCATCATAAGAAAAAATCCAGTAATAAGCAAATATAGATATGTAAAACAAAACTCATCGAGAAAAAAGAACAATCCCAAAAAAGAGAAGGATCATACAGATACAATTCCGCCTCCATAGGTAAGTGAGTAAATCCATACAGCATCAGTTTCCGAAGAACCTACCTAAAAATGACGACCAGTGAAGTCAGAGATATTGAACTCGATCTCTAATTCCCATGACTCAAACGTCAAGCTAATGTAGTTGAAAAGTATTGCTGAGAAGAAGACAAGGAATTGAAACCTTTCTGGGTAAGATAAACTTGAGAGGATATTTTGAGAAGCATCTAGTCGCCGTTGACCGGCCTCCCACTTTTTCAACCACCAAAGCACCCGTTTCGATGTCTTCATCGTCCTCACCCTTACGCATTTTCTACTTTGCTGCGAGATGAGAAGAATACTCGAGCCGCGCTCGTGTTCAGGGCCGGAGACAGAGAAGCATGTGCCTGCCGCGTTCAGTTTCTCTCCCCTGTGATATCCCGCCGCTGCGTCTCCGGTCCATCGAGCTGAAACGCTGCCGTTTGTTAATTAAATTAGATGGAAAATTAGTTTTCTGTTCCCTCGTCTTTTTTTTTAACCTGTTCCCTCATTTAAACCCAATCGCACGAGGCTGGTAATTTAAAAACCATAATTTTTTTTATAATTCAAAAGAGAAGTATGATCCTGGCCTGGGTTATGATTAAAAATAGATTTTATATTAATTTTTAGTTTTAATGTAAGGAATAGAGAGGGAAAAAAATTAATGAGTTTAATTTCTAAAAATAATAGAAAAATAAAATTTTTAATATAGATAAAATGCAAAGAAAATAAGTGAATAAAATTTCTTATAATTTTAAACGACGCTTATTTATATAATTTTTCATCAAATAGGATGTTTAAAAGATGTTCTATATTATGATTAAAAAAAATTAGTATTAATTTCATATTCACTACTCATTTTTTATTGTTCTCACACCCATTTTATTAGAAATGTCCTCATAATCTTTTATTTTTATTTATTATGTAATAACTTAAAAAATTATTATAAAAAATATATTGAAAAAAGAGGTCACATGGTTATTGTAGAACTACAGTAACCATTCAATGTAAAATACAATAGAGGGGAGATTCTTCTAGATGATTGAGAGGGACTGGTTTAGAGTTTGATGCCAAGAACGTGACCGAAGTTTGTGGTTTGAGATGTTCAAGGCTATCTTTACTTATATAATTGGTCACTACTTTTATTTTTAAGTTTTTCTTTTTTATGTTTGGGTATAAGATGGTTTATTTTCTGTAAATCATTCTAGGCTCAGCAATGCCCTTCTTATCTGCATACAAAAATTTCTTCACTTCTATAGAAAGTTCTAATTAAAAACTCATACCTCCCTTCTTCCTGATGCTCAAATTCGCTAAATCATCTGCACAGCAATTCCCTTCTCTATACGTATGAGACACTCTCACCTCCCAAGAAGGATCATGCAATTTCAAAACATTTGATAATATTCTATTATCAGATTCATTACAATCAAACAATTTAAACAACATATTTACCACAACTGAAGAATCCAATTCCACTATTAGCTTATGAACATTCAGTAAACAAGCCAGCTTGAAACCTAACCATGCGCCCCAAACTTCAGCATCTATAGCAATACACACACCAACATTATTATAGAAACCACCTAACCAATTTCCCCTTTCATCCCAAATTAATCCCCCACAACCAGCAACACCGGATTGTCCTTTTGCTATATCATCAACATTCAGTTTTACCCAACCAATCTCAGGAGCAACCCAACAAATATTGCACCATATCCTCTTTCCTCCAACAAGTTCATCCCCGAAAAAAGCAGAATTAATACTATCCAAATATTTCAAAATAGAAATTTCAGAAATCAAACCTGTATCAAATGAAGGATCAAACAACATCTTATTATGCCAGTACCATATAAACCATGCCACAACTCCAAACACCATTTTCCAATCACTTCTACCACTCAAATTCCATATGAACCATTCCTCCTTCCCTAACCTGATAAAATCACCCTTCTGATCAATTTTCAGCAATTTTTCCCACACTGACCTACTCCTATTATAGTCATGCAAATCATGAGTATAAGGACCTATAACACACAAAAAAGTGTAAAGATCTATAATAAAACGCGAGCAAAGTACAATAATTTAAAGTTATGTTTTCCCAACAATATCAATAACAATTGCTATTGTTAAATGAGTTTTTCAAAGTTAAATTTGTTTAAATATTATTTAAGATTAACCATGTTGCCAAATGAATTAAATGGATTAGCTATATTTATTTATTAAAGGTGAAATGTTTGAAATACTTAATCATAAAATTTTAATATTTAATTTTGCAACTCAAAAAACTAGAAAACTAATATGAAGATAGATAAGTGAATATATTAGTCATTAATATTGTCTTAAGTCCCAAAACTTCTTCACACGAACCTGAGGACACTATGTGTGGGGTCATTTCTTTGAGTCTTTGGAGGAATAGAGATAACATAATTTTCAACTAGATTAATGTCTTGGTGTTTGAGTTCATGGCCAAAACTTTTAGTTACACTAAAGTGATCCAAGATAACATTGACAATAAGAGAGATATTATTGGACTAAAGTCTAAAATTCAAATCGCTTGAGAGCGACCACCATCTAGCTAGGCAAGGCTCAATATTGATAGTGCAATGAAAGGGAGTCCAAGGTTGATGGGGGTGTGGTGGGGTTTTTGAAATGATAAAGGAAAATGAATTGGAGAATCTATATCTCATATAAATTTGGAATGTCTAGTAAGGGTGCATGTGGTTTTCATCCATTTAAAATTTAAAATAGACTTTTGAACTTTTTAAACATTAAAAGTTGTTTGGATAATTTTTTAAGGAGCAAAATGACTTTTTGAAAGCGAGTTAAAATAAATTTGAAATGTGAATTTTGAAACTCTATTTTGGGTGGATTTCAAAAGTCCATTTTAAATGTTAAATGAGTTGGGAGCAATAATGAGGGGAATAATTGGGTACCTAACTTTCTAAATGACCATGATATCCTTTGATCCATATAACTTCATACACTAATGAAGAAAATATAATTAATATTAATGATGATAATGACAAGCATACATTTTCATTATCAATTTCAAGTACAAATTTAAGCATGATTTTTAATAGAGAGATAAATAGGGTTTGAGAGTTTATTAGAGATCAAATTATATATTATAGATCAAACGATTAATCAAGTATATTTTTTCTAATATTAAATTATATATTTCTTATTCTTATTATTTAACATCTTAAATTTCATATTATTTTAAATTTTTTGAAATTTTTTAAACATTTATAATATATTATATATGTATAATAAAAAATTATAAATTATTATAAACTAATGTCCTTTTCAATCATTGCATATTCATAAATACATTTCAAAAGCATAAATTTTCTTTAATTCAAACAACTTTTAATTTATTAAATTGACTTTTAAAAAAATATATTTAAATACAAATTTTATTATAATAACTGACTTTCACACTGACTTTTACTAAATAAATTTTCATCAAATTAAAAATCAAACACACACCAAATTTATATATAAATTTGGAATGTCAATCAATAATAGATGAATAGTAAGTTGTCGACACTGTCCCCAATTTTTTCTTGGCACCTTCCCTTGAACATGACCTTCACAGTGAATTATCGATATTGTTCCCGTCTTTTTTGCCTTTGTACTTTAGACAACTCACTCGCTGTTTTGAAATGTTGAGAATCTATCTTCCATTATAGGAAATTACAATCGTTACTGTACATCTACAGTAAATGTTCATTTTACTTTATATCCACAGTAAAATCCATTACATTTAATAATTTTATTGTTTTAAAAAACAAATCGTTTTTAAAAATATTTTTAATAATAAATTATTAAATTATATTTATTAAATAAATATTAACAACTAAAATTTTTTTAATATTTTTATTTCAAATTTTTATATTTTTAAATTTATATTTTTATTTACATTTTTTTAAATGACTTATAACAACACATTATATATGGGGAAATAAATTCTGAGCTATAGTATGTTGTTAAAATATTTTCACATCTATTACACTTAATATTTTTATTTTTTTCAAAAACATATATTTTTAAAAATATTTTTAATCGTAAATTATTAAAATATGTTTATTAAAAAAATAATAACAAAAAATGTTTTAAAATTTTTATTATAGTTTTTTATTTTTTTAATTTCATGAAATTCTTAGATTTTTAATTTCATTTCATTTTAAATTTTTATTTTAAAATTTCTTAAATGACTGACAACAATGCATTATACATGGGGTAATAAATTATGAGCTATATTATGTTGTTAAAATTTTTAATTCTCATGAATAATAAATTACTAAATATTTCTTTGCATTATTATTTAAACTAACTTTTAAATTGAACAAGAAGAAATATTATAGAATAAAATAAGATATTATTTATAATTTTAACATGTATCAAAATAAAAAAATAAAAAATAAAACAAGTTGTTTATTATATTTTAAATTTGCAAGGGAAAATAAATTTTGAATTGCAAGTTGCTGCTAATATTTTTTAATATGCATCTAGTTGACAAATTAAAAAGAATGACAAGTGTTATCTAAATTTTTCAATATCATTTTAATATATTGTTTATGCTTTAGTGAGTTTGGTGTTAAAAAATAGAGAAACATGGTTGAAAGTTTTTAATTGATTTTTCTTTTTTCTTTTTCTCTTTCATTTTCTCTTTGTTAAAATGTTATAATTCTTTTTTTTATAAATTAAAAGTTATAATTCTATTTTCCTATATTTTTAAATCAAACTAAAATCTCTCCTTCCTCCCTCTACTTTTCTTGAACTAAGTAGAAAATTAATGTTATTCATTCATTATATAAAGTCACACACTTTTTATTGTATAGTTATCATCATTTGGATAACTCTCCACTCTCCCTTTCTCTATTTTGTTTTTCATGTTTTTCCATTATATAAACTTTTATACAATAATGGTTTGGACATTTGAAATAAGAAGTAATCAATTCAAAAAGATGGTGTCACGCGAATGAAATTCACATCAATAAGATATAAATTTTATTCTCTTGAACATCTAACATCTTTTTTATAAACAAAATAAACAACTTGTTAAAATTTAAATTGTTCCATTTTATTTTCTCATCATTGAAATTTTTTAGCTATGGCTTTTTTCATTTATTGAAAGAGAGATATATTTATTTTGTATATTCTCTTGTATGTTAGAATCTACAAAGTTGTTATATAATTGTATTTGCGTGCTTTACATAAAGGATATAATCATCGTAAAATAATATAGAAGTAACTAATATTAAATAAATAAGAAAATAGTATAAGTTGAAAATTCTGCCTAACAAATTAAAAAAAAATATGCAATTGACTAATGTTTTCAAAATTACAATATTTTACATTATGTATGATGAAATCTTTCTAGTGCATCGCATGGGGATAAATTTTAAGTCATTTGTAATTTAAGAAAGCATAGCCTTCATGAAGTT